GACGCGGACATTTCATTCCAAATGCACACTATTGTATTTTCTCTTCACCATACCCTTCCAGGCGCTACGGATGCAGAAAAGGTTCCATTCTCCGCCTGCTGACACCATCCTCTGGATCACACACACCAGCCAAGGCAGAGCCCAGCCAGCCCGCACCAAGAGCAGACCGCGCACCTGCGCCCACCCCCACACCCAGCCCCCCCCATACCCCAACCCAGGGCTATGGTTCTCCCTTTATATCCATTTCTGGCTAGACACAGGTTTCCCCAGAAGAGCAATCTGAGAGCAGGAACATCAAGGATTCTATCTGATCGTTAAGAGGGTTTCCCTGCTTGTCTCTCCTCTCCAGGTCCATTCAGAGGCCCTCACGTCCTTGGTGTCCTTGCCATTACACTAGCGCAGACGGCACAATGCTATCTGGGGGAGAGGGAGGGGGTGAGGAGGGGACTGCAGCCCGAAATCATGAGCTGTGGTTGATGAGGGATCAGTGGTTCTTGGCGGCATGTGGTCCACTCTGGAAACTTCAGGGGGTCTGCGAGGTCAAACCTGGTTTTCTAAGACCAAGATGTTACTTAGGGACTTGGTTCACAATGACATTTGCACTCATTGCCCTTTGCCGTGCGGCGGGTGGGAGCGCCAGTGCCCAAATCCTCACGTCTGCGGTCACCGCGCTCTTCACTGTGTGCCGGGCAAGGCCAAGAGGCCAGACTCGCTGAGCAGTGGCCTCGGTGCGACAGAAGTGCCCGCCCCCCGTAGACCTCGGCCGCTGTAACATCCTGCGTGGCGCCACGGGAGCCTGCGGCGAGCCTGCGCACGGACGCACCTCTGCTCGAGGAAAGTAGACGCGGTTGAGTCTTGGGCAGAACCAGCCACTCTTTTCCCGGAGCATCGACGGCTTTTACTTGAAGGAGTGACGAACCGGTTCCTCGGCCTTGGGTATTTGGCCGACATTTCCTTGGAAATGAATCAAGTGAGCCTCATGGAAAGCGATGGACCATATTCGCTGTCGGTGATGAAACACGAGCTTCCGAGCGAACACTGGAATCTGGGGGGACATGTATGCGCCGCCTCGGCAGCTTCACGACACGTCAGGATTTCCCTGGTGAAATCAGCGGAGGCATTAACAATGGTGATCTTTAATCGTGCACAATCATGCTGTGAGCCACTATTTGGAAGACTCATATTTTCTTGGTCTTGGGGCGCCTGGGTGGCTCAGTCGGTTAAGCGTCCAACTTCCGCTCAGGTCATGATCGCGCGGTTCGTGGGTTTGAGCCCCACGTCGGGCTGTGCCGACAGCTCGGAGCCTGGAGCTGCTTCAGATTCTGTGTCTCCCTCTCTCTCTGACCCTCCCCTGCTTGCATACTGTTGCTCTCTCCTCTCTCAAAAATAAACATTTATAAAATTTTTAAAAAATCCTTAGTCTTTACCCCCTTCCGGTAAGGATTAGCATGAACCCACATAAACAAAAGCTTTTTGGGGTCTTCCACAACTTTTGACAATGTGAAAGGGATCCTGAGACCAAAATGTTTGAGAATTGCTGTTATATTTAACAATCATCTGGTAAGATCAGGAACAAGATAAAAAAGGAGCAAAGGAACCTAGTTGCTTCTCCCGGGGCTCCCAAGCTGGGTGCCAGGAACGAGCTTGAAGCGGTGGTTACGCAGCGGAGACCATTTGCGAACGGGAACTGACGGCTCTGGAGGTGGCTGGCACTGTCAGAACCGCTGCCGGAAGAGCCACATCCAGCTCGTGGCAGAGCTGGGGACCGTGTCCAGGCCGAATCCCAACACGGGGCCGACTGCTCACTTCCGGTACCGAGTGCTCAAACAGGTAACGGTAGAACAGATAACGGCGTTCTGCGTCAGCTAGTGTTTCCCCCGGGGACAGAAAGGCTCGGAAAGCCCACGGGTGGCAGGCTGCCACCTGGGACTGCACGAGCCACCGCTAGAAGGTGACAAACCAAACTTCTCGACAGAAGACGACCCAAGGCCCAGAGGGCAGCCGGGGATCTGGCGGCCTGGATCCCACAGGGCGGGAGCCAGGCTCCTGACCCAGGGCTCGCCCGCCCCACAGTCTCCCCCCTGCACCCTGCCTCCTCGAAGACGCGCCGCCCCCTTCTGACAGGCTGCAGGCAGGGAGCGCAGGGGACAGAGGAGCCAGCTGCTGACTCTGGCTACAGGAGCACCACCCCCAGCCCAGCCCCCACAGCCTAGGAAGGAAGGCCTCTGTTCGTCAGACCCAGTTTTTTACGAGAAGCTAGAGATCCTGATTTTGAGTGCAGCCGCCAGATTTGAACACTTGGCTTAGAAGGCAGCCTCTGGTTCTGGTTCTCTAGACCGACCTCTCCCCTTGGGGGATCTTTGAACATAGGCTGTGCCCGAGCGCATCTATCTAACTGTCCCAAAGGTTAGTTTCTCTGGTCTGCAGAAGGAGAAAGGAAACCCACAAATGAAGAGAATTCTCAGCTTAGGGAGACGCACGTTTGGGGAGGGCAGGGCCCCCACAGCGGCCGGCGTCGAGGGGAACGTGACCCGCGGCGCCAGGGGCAGTCCGCTCCGCGTGGCCACCTGGACCGTCCCCATTCCAGTAATGGTGGCACTCTCCCCGGGCCGGGTCATCACACACAGGCAGACGCCACGGGCAACGGGCGGCTCGTGGCCCCGCTGGGTGCGCCGCTGCTGAAGCGCGTGGAGAGGTCATTCGGGGGCTGTGTCCGTGGTAACGGAGGACGCCGTCCGTCACGAGGGCTCTGACTCCCAGGATGGGGTCCCGGTCAGAACGGGGGAGTTCCAGCCACAGCCTGGAGCGAGCGGCTAACGAAACAAACACCCTCCTGCGTTCCGGTCCCGGACACGCAGGGGTTTACATAAAGATGGAGCAAATGTAGGGTGCGAAGGTGCGCTGAGGCCGGGCGGTGCCCTCTGGACGGATCTGCTGGTAAGCTTTCCAGGTGTCCTTCCCATTGCATCGGATGCCCCAAAGTAGCAGCGATGGAAAATTTCTTCCCACAACGAACTCACCTGGTTTCTGGTCTTCCACGGGAAGTGCTGTGCTTAGTGCTTCTGATTCGTGCTCCGGTTTGCCTACCAATCCTGCCCGAGAACGGACGGACGTCTGATGTCCAACTGGCGCCGCTGCCATTTCCGGTCCCCTTGCCAAGGGGCAGCCGGGCCGCTCCATCACAAAGGGCACGCGGCTCGAGCGCACAGGGGCGGTGGGACGCGGTGGGTACGCTTTAATGAAGGAGCTGGTGCCAGCGACCCGGGCGGGCTGCTTAGACACGTGCCCTTTCAGAACGGACTTCTCCTCCCGTTCGCTGGTGTGCGAGATGAATCCTCAAAGGTCATGGTGTCTGAGAGAATCATTTGGGTCTTACTGCTCTTTTTTTTTTTTTTTTTAATATTTTTATTTATTTCTAGGAGAGACAGAGAGAGAGAGCGTGAGCAGGGGAGGGTCAGAGAGAGGGAGACACAGACTCTGAAATAGGCTCCAGGCTCTGAGCTGGCAGTCAGCACAGAGCCCGATGCGGGGCTCGAACCTACAAACCACGAGATCATGACCTAAGCGAAAGTCAGACGCTTAACCGACTAAGCCACCCAGGCGCCCCTGGGTCATACTGTTCTTAGTTCACAGCCGGGACGTGGCAGGGTTATAATGAGAGCCACCTACTCTGCCAAGGGCATAAATGTGAGCCTGTAAACAACAAAACAATTCCAGGGAAAAAGCATGTTTCCCCTTGGTCCCAACTCATCAGAAAGGTGCAACTGCGTGGCTTCTCTACAAAACCCATGTAGGTCACACGGGCAATGGGGGGGGGGGGGTTGAGGGTTTGGCCCAGGACGCCATGGCCACGTGGTCCCAAGCTGCTCCTGACACCCAAGCTCCCTGGGCAAAGACACAAACAAGTCACGGGGAGGCCTGGAGGGGAAGGGACTCAGCCCCGGCGGCGAGAGGGAAAACCCCAGCAGTAAGAAGCTCCCGGGCACCGTGTCCGACCCCGATGTTTCTTCTACGGGAACAACTCAAAGGACGTTTAACTTTCAAACACCACTTTTTTCTCACGTGGCTAATTAAGTATCTCCTGGAAATAGGACCTGGAGAGATACGAGGTGTGCTCAGAAGAACGAGGTCCCCTCAAAGATGTCAGTGTCTTCATTCCGGGAAGCTGTGACCATCACAGAACACGGCAGGGGGAATTGGGGTCACAGACAGACCCGGGCTTGCTGATCTTACGTAAGGAGAGCAGCCGGCTGGCCGGAGGGGGTCTGAGAAAGCCCTGGGAGGCTGGCGGCAGATGCTCGGTGTGCGAGCGCTGGAAATACAGCTCACGGGTCAGCCGAGGGACACGGGCGCCCGGAAGCCAGGAGCCGGACTCCCCTGGAGCCTCCGGGAGGAACGCGGTCGGGCCAGCACGGATTCGCGAGGCCGTTCAGGAGCTCTGGCCTCCGACGGCTGCTCTGTGCTCTAAGCTGACAGACGCTTTGTGGTAACTCGCTGGAGCAGCGCAGGGAGCTGGAGTCCCGTCTTAATAATGCTATCACCCATGAAGAACACAGTTTTCCTCTGCCTCAGTGTCCCCAACATTACGTGGGATTCTTCCACGCCACCCACGTGCATTTAAGACTCCAACACCCAGAACAGTGACCGCAGCGCCCACCAGTGCGCCCCCCCCCAGCAGCGCCCACCAGTGCACCTCCCCAGCAGCGCCCACCAGTGCGCCTCCTCACCAGCACCCACCAGCGCACACCCCCCCCCAGCAGCCTAGGCGTCCCTGGGCTCTGCCCGGTACTTTCCGGTACAAGGAGACAGGACACGGAGGTGTGAGGAGCCTGCCGGGGAAGCCCCCGGGAGGCCGTCTGATGGGACCTTCCGTCGGGGCGGTCCCCGAGGAGGAGCACGTGGCCGCTTTCAAGGCCGCGTCCCCTCCCCGTGGTCCTCGGGGAAAGCCAGCGTGGGACACAGAGCTTGGGAAAGCAAATCAAGCCCACGATGCCTCTGGGTATTTGTCTTTAAAATTTATTGATGTGCTTTCCCACCGGGACTGCAAAGAGCAGCTCGGGCGCGTCTGCTCGGCGAGAAAGTGACTCGCTGCTGCCAGGCCGCGGGGCTTCTCCTGCGGGGCCTCGAGGCCGCGTGCCGGCTACAGGAACCTGATCCCGGCTCCAAACTGCACACCGTCACATATCCTGAGGAAGCAAAGGGCACAAAATCAACACTGTGGCTGCTCACCGCACGCCCCATCGGCATGTGACCGAAAACGGGCGCCTGCCTTCCAGATGCCAGCGGTGGCCTCGCCCTCTCCCGGGGGGCCGGCCCGCCTCTGCCTCTGCCCAGCCCACCCGCCAGCCCCGCGGCTTCCTTCTCTGCCGCCTTCAGAACCAGCCTCTGGGGGACAGAAAAATGGTAAGGCGAGCAGACACAGAACCCCCTCACTGTGCTTCGTGTTCCCCCAGTCTCGCCCCAAGGGGCTAAAAGCAAAGAAGGACCTAGAAGAGAAACATTTATGAGTAAGAAAACCCCTGAGGGGAAAACAATGGCTCTGAGGTTTTTTTTAATTTTTTTTTTATTTTTTTAATATTTTTATTTATTTCTAGGAGAGAGAGAGACAGCGTGAGCAGGGGAGGGTCAGAGAGAGAGGGAGTCACAGACTGAAACAGGCTCCAGGCTCTGAGCTGGCAGTCAGCACAGAGCCCGACGTGGGGCTCGAACCCACGAACCGCGAGATCATGACCTGAGCGAAAGTCGGACGCTTAACCGACTAAGCCACCCAGGCGCCCCTCTCTGAGTTTATTTCTAAGGCTACCCGGCAAGCGCGAGCTGTGAGAGGCTGTCTGTGCGGAGTAGAGCGGTGACACAGGCGGCTGGGGGCGTCGGGGCCAAAGCACCACCCTCAGTGGGGCCGGGGAGGCCGGGAGGAGGCAGAGCGGGAGGGCAGGTGGAGGCAGAGCGAGGAGGCTGCAGGAGAAATGAGGAGGGCGGGGAGCAGGCAGAACTTGGGCCACCCAGGCTCTCCAAGGATTCCGGGGGGGCCCCCGAGCACGGCAGCGTCCGCAGCCCCGCAGGAAGAACCTGCTCCTGACCCAGGGAAAGGACGGGTGCCAAGCAGTCGCCCTGGTGACAAGCCGCCGCCCGCAGGTTTTATTCTGTGGGTTTTACTCCACGTGCGGCTGGCAGACCGCTGGGCCCATTTTCAGCTAAGCAACAGGATGAGCGAGGCCCGGTCCCAGCAGCGGGAGGGGGGCAGGGCCCTGCGCCGGGACTCAAGGGCACCTGCACAGCTCAGGGGCCACGGGCCCAGACCCCCGGCGACATGGGCAGAGGGGCCTGGCCCGGGGGCAGCAACACCCGGAAGTAGAAGCTTCGAGGGAAAGTGGTTTTCTGAATCCCAAACAGCCGCTGACAGCGCATCCGTGGGACATGGCGTTTTCGCAAGTTGTGGACAATTTCCAGACAAGGGGCAGCAAGGGGCTCCTCTGCTCAGGGTAGAGGCTGAGGACGCGATGGCCGGATCACCCGTGCCCTTGCCCACTCCCAGGGTTCACGGCGTATGAAAACCGGCAGGAAGTTTTTCTTCTTCAACCTGTGACTGAGGGATCAGGACACCCAACCCAAGACACAATCGAGGGGGGCCACTGTGACCACTGCTGGGACCCCCACGGCACCCCTGCTCACGCTCCGGCCAGAAGGGACGGTGCCCCTGTGCGGCCTACGGGACACCACACCAATGTCCTTAGAAACGCGAAGACCCACACCCCAACCAGGGCCGCGTTTATACGAGTTAGTTCTGTTCAAACCTAAATGATTTGTCCTGTATTTTACACCCGCAGGCCCGGGAAAGCCGCCCACACCTGCACTCAGTCCTTAGGAAAATGCCTGGAAACAGGCTCCCCGTCCGTGAGGCCCCGGCCTCCAGGCATGCGCAGGCGCTCGGCAGAGGCTCGCTTACCTGGAGCCGGTCCAAGCGCAATGAAGACAAACCCCCCACGAACACGACGGTGTCGCAGGGTTACGAGAGCACAGGTGCCACCTAAGCGCTACCTTCCGTCGTGCGTCCACCTCGGAAGGCGGTCCCCCGAGTCTCCCCCAGGGACTCCCCCACCCCAGGGTCGCGAACAGGCCCGGCTGTGCGCACTCTGCCCGCCTCCAGCTCGGCACCACGAGGGCCGCCACGAGGTCCTGATGAAGCTGACGCCCGGGAACGGGCACAGCCCCCAGCAGTCACACAGGGAAACCAGCTGCCGGCCGGGGCACGGGGAACGGGGCCGGAGCTCGAAGGCGTCGGGGTGTGTGCCCAACGTGAAAAGCAGAGACAGGACGCGAGAATGGAGCGACGGGGCCCGAACGTCCCTCTCGCTCCTATGAAAAGACAGTCCCGCCACTGGCACCTCGCACTCGCACACCTGGGCTCGGGCTGCTCTGCCCGGAGCGCCCGCCCCCGCAAGTCCGCAGCTGTCCATGTCAGGAAGCTTTACTCAGACACCACCTCCCCCTGGAAGCCCTCTGACACCGTCCCCAGGTGAGACGAGCCCCTCGTCTTCCCCTTACTCGGGTGCACGTCTGGCTCAGGAGCCCAGCTCGTTCACCCCCGAGCCTCCAGGGGCTACACTCCGGGACGACGCAACTCGGGCAGGTCTCGGACCAGTGTGCCTGCCGGGGGCACCTCCAGTACGAAATGCAGCCAACAATCCAAAGCCGTCTCCGTCTGGGTAAACGTCTGAAATCCTGATCATAGGGCGCTCGCGTGAAGAGCGGGGGGCGGGGGGGGGGCCGGCGACAGGGGACTCACACACACGTCCCCTGTGCTGCTACTGCCCAGCCCCAGACATGAAGCTTAGACTGTGACTGTCATCACTCAGCCTCACAGAATTCCCAGCGGGATGACAAAACTTCAAAACAAAGCCACACACGGAGTAAAAGCGGGTCCCACACCATGGGTGCCAGGCTGAGCCTGCGCAGGGGACACTGCAGCTTCTGCTGCGGCCGCCACGACGGGCGGGGGGTGGGGGGGGACGCGGAGCACAGCTGGAGGGGCGGCAGCTTCCCTGCGTTGGGTCTTTAAATGCCATGTGCACAGCATGCCTCTTCCTCCCTGAAGAAACCACATTTAAAATTTGTCTCAGAAATAGACTCTCCACCTCCGAGGGGGGCCCCGCTGAGAGGTGAAGGGAAGATGCCCCGAGAAGGCTCCCTGAGCGGAGAAGCCGGGTTACAGACCCTCGGGGCACAGCGACACCCAGTGGCCTTGAACGATGCTGCGGCCGTGACAACAGCAGCGGGAAGGCTGAGCTGAAGGACAGGAGGCCCTAGGGCCCCAGGCACTTGCCCTAAGTGGCGAGGCCGGGGAGAGACAGGGCAGGGCCGGCCACGCAGCCGCACATCTGCTGCCATCCCCAAACTGGCCGAGAGAGGAGCAGGCAGCTCTCGGTGGCTGATGGTCACTTGGTGACACAGACTCTACAGCTACAGCTAAAACCCCACATGCGCTTCCAGTTTTCTTTAGAACAAAGTAGTGAGAGTGCATGTACTTAATAATTTGCACTTATATTGGCACGGTTCATACACGCTGATTGACTGTCATGGACACAACTCATATAATCTCTGAGATCAGAAAACTATAGAATTTGAGTCTGAGTAAGATCTTCCAAGAAGATAAGCAAGGAAGAGGTGATTTTTCTTTCTGCAGTTAATACTCGAGGTGCAGAGGGGCACCTTGGTGGCTCAGTCAGTTAAGCCTCCAACTTTGGCTCAGGTCATGATCTCATGGTTCATGAGTTCAAGCCCCATGTTAGGCTCCGTGCTGACAGCTCAGAGCCTGGAGCTGCTTCAGATTCTGCCTCCCTCTCTCTCTGCTCTTCCCCTGCTCAAGCTCTGTCTCTCTCTCTCAAAAATAAATACACATTACAAACAAAAATACTCGCGGTGCAGAAAAGCCAGTGTGGGGACGAAACCACATCTGGTCTCTTGGGGGAGGGGGTGGCACTCTGTGCTCATGTGGTTTTGGCGCAGAGGAAAAGGTACAGGTTCTGGCCGCTGCTTCTGCCTCGGCCCTGCCGAGGCTCGCCGTCCTTCCGCGTCAGCAGGGCTAACGCCCCCACCACACAGAGCTGCCGAGAGGCTTCCATAGTGAGATCGGGGGCTCTGCGCGGGGTTGCGTGCAGGGTAAGCATTCGATAAATACCAGTGCCCGCCCTTCCTGCGCAAGACGTCCGTCCTCACGGCTCTCAGAGGACCCAGGGAGGCTCTCCCTCCGTGCGGCCACTCCACAAGCATCAGCCTCGCCAGGGGAGCACGGGAGGGATGCATGGTCAGGGCCGCCCCAGTCGGAGGCACGTGACGCTCTAAGAAGTGCGGGCCCGGGACCCACATCTGACCTCATCCTGGTGCTGGCGTGGCCCTGGCACCCGCGTGGCTGGGGCTCCCAGTTAGCACGCAGGGGGAAGCCAGGGGGAGCCCCTTCTCAGCTGTGGGGGGAAGAAGGCCATGCAGAAAGCAGCCTGTACACCCAGGCTTGTTTCCCTGAGACTGTAAGGGAGGGGGAAGGCTGCGACAGAGTCACCAAGAGCGCAAAAAAATGTGTGCTTTCACATTTCATTACCTCTGAAACCGGGGAACAAATCCCATGCACCTCGAACATGGCCAGACAGCAGCCAGTGCCTGAGCGGGTGAAATGGTCTCTGAGGGGCGCACGCTCTGCTTCCCGTGTGGAAAGGGCCACGGCGAGGCCGCGGAGAGCAGCAGCGTGAGCAACGGCCAGCATTTACTCACAGCACGGGGGGCACGGCTCCACGCGCTTCCCGCACATTCATTCACTCGGGTAAGGTCACTAGCGCCCACTCTCTCAGCAGGAAAACTGAGACCAGAGAGGTTAAGACCCTTACCCTGGGCCACGAAGCCGCAGAGTGGCCGTGCCTGGACAGCCAGGCTGCTGCACACACACAGGGTGGAGGCGAGGCACCAGTCATCTGGGCAGCTGCAGTCTGCGGGGGCGCCGGAAGGGCGCGGACACCACATGGTGGCCCGGCAGCCACAGTCAGACTCCCGATGAGAGACTGAAGAGCAGGCGCTACTGACCACATAACCATAACGGGCTGCCCAACAGGTCCTGAACTGCACCCTCAGAGCTAGTGCTTCCTTTTTTAAAATTTATTTTGAGAGCGAGCACATGCATGTGCATGTGAGCTGGGGAGGGGCAGAGAGAGAGGAGGAGAGAGAGACTCCCAAGCAGGCTCTGCGCTGTCAGCACAGAGTCCAACACGGGGCTCAATCTCACGAACCTCAAGATTGAGGCCTGAGTGGAGATCGAGAGTCAGACACTCAAGCTGGCTGAGCCGCCCAGGCGCCCCGCGAACGTGGCTCTGCCACCTGCCACATCGAAGCAGAGGACCATGGGAGTGAAATCAGGTCAGATTCTCCTTAAATCAGGACACACACCAGCGTCAGGCTTGAGACGCGGGCTATGACTCAGCGCCACCGCATGGCGGCCACGTCAGTGTGGACGGACCCCGGAGAAGGAAAGAGTACAGCCCACAGTGCTGATGTATAAACACGAAAGTAATGCGATGCTGTAATCACTGCTATGGGCAGAGCGGCCAGGCCCCCCAAATGCGTATGTGAACCCCCCAACTGTGAGCTGGTATCTGGCGGCAAGGCCTTTGGGGGGGAATCGGTTACGATGAGGTTATGCAGGAAAGCCCCCAGGGTGGGGGTCTCCAGGCCTCGGAGGGCTGCTGGGCTCCCGCCGCGTGAGGACACGGAGAGCAGGCGCCGTGCACAGGCCGGGAAGAGGGCCCTGAACCGAAGGGAACAGGCCAGGACCCTGCGCTCGGACCCCCCAGCCGCTGCTGTTTAGGCCGCGCAGCCTGTGGCGCCCTGACGGCGGCCGCACGGCACACAGACCGAGGCAATACTCCCGCGTTGCTTACAACGTACACGGCGGACACCACAGAGACAAGACATGGAACTAATTTCCATGCCCATAAATGACCTCATGGCAAATTCACCCACGTAGTATTTAGCACATCTTGCTCAGTAAGAGGGCCGGTGGAGAGGGGCCAAGATGGCAGGTCCCTCTGCTTCCAGGAGAAGCCTCTGGAGAACGAGTCTCTGTGGCCAAGGAGCAAAGCCTCGTCCGGGCCAAGGCCGCGTTCCTGGCCTGCAAAGCCACTCACCAGAAACCCCTCATTCCGTTTTTAACCAGCGGGATCAAGAATGCCTCACCAACTCCTCCAGCCGGACCCGCGGAGGAGCCCCCATCACTGGGCAACAGGGAGAGCAATCGGGCGAGGTGGGGGATGGGAACACGTCACACTTCTCCTCCAGACTGGACGATGGAGAAAAATATATTTTCATCCTTAAAAAAAATTTTTTTTTAACATTTATTTCTTTTCAAGAGACAGAGACAGAGCACCAGCAGAGGAGGGGCAGAGAGTGGGGGAGACACAGAACCTGAGGCAGGCTCCAGGCTCCGAGCTGTCAGCACAGAGCCCAGTGAGGAGCTCAAACTCACAATCTGCGAGATCATGACCTGAGCCGAAGTCGGACGCTCAACTGACTGAGCCCCCCGGGTGCCCCTAGTTTCATTCTCTGGCTAGCTCTTCAGTTTCTCCTAAAATCTTGACTCTTAAACGCCACAGACAAAATGATTCACCAGGTCCCAACCGAGACAGGACTACTGGACAGTGACAACATAACGGGGGGCGGGGGGGGGGAAGTACTTCCAGCACCTACCTGTCACCCTTCTGCACGCCCATGGGGACACAGTAGTTAAGTTCCAGCCGGGCGATGTTGCCCAGCCTGAGGACGATGCCGGCGCCATAGGACCAGCGGATGCACTCGGCCAGCTTTCGGATGTGCGCCTTGGGGCCCTCCCCTGCGAAGAGACAAGACGCTGTGAGCACCGTCCCCCCACACGCCCCTGCTGTGCGGCCCGCCTGCCCAAGGAGAGCACGTCGAGTGCACCCAGGGCTGAAATCAAGGCAGGGAAGTGAGAGCACACTTCCTCTCGCTGCCCCGGAAGCAAGTCTCTGGGTCCGGTGCATTCTGTCCCCTTGGCCTAAGAGGACCTTGCCCCTGGTGCAGGTCACCAGCAGGAACTCCCACTCCGCGCCTCCGCCTGAGGGCCTGGTCTTCCGGAACGTGCCCCAGACACCTCTCCACAGCCCCCTAACGGGACGTGCTGGCCCCGAGTCTCCTCTGGCCGCGAGCCCCCTGAGGAGGGAGCAAACCCGACTCAGCTCTGTGGCAATGATGACCAGCACAGCGCAGGGGCTCCAGAAACGTCCACTGTGTGACTATGTCGGGGGACCTTTGCAGGGCAGCACCCGGTGACGATTCTTCACCTGCGTTTCGTTCACCAACTGCATTCTGAGCACTGTGTCCGGCGTTGTGGGAGGTTTTAAAGGTAAAGCGCCGTCCCTACACGTGGCGACTGTGAAACCTAACACAAAGGATCCTACTTGCGGGCCGTGCTTTGACCACAAAGGCCACCGGGTCTTACCGTAGTTGAGATTGCAGAGATTCCCTGCGTTGAGGAAGAAGTGCGTTCGGAAGAGTTCTCCGAAGCCGCCCTGGCCTGGCCGGAAGGGCAAGGGCGTGTACAGGTGTAGGCCGCCGGCCCAGTAGGCCTCTCCACCCAGGTAGTCTCCTAGCGAGGGACAGAGCACACAAAACAATGCTCACACATGCCGTCACACCGAAGTCCCGCAGGCTGCATGAGTGAGACGTGTACTGTGTGCGGGACACGCTCTGCTCAAGCTCTCCGGGTCCCCGTGTGGCCACCTCACTTTATTTCTCTTACTGTTATTTACTTTTTTTTTTTAAGTTTATTTCTTTGAGAGAGGGCGAGGGGGCAGGGAGGGAGAGAATCCCAAGCAGGCTCCATGCTGGCGCTGTCCGTGCAGAGCCTGACGCGAGGCTCAATCCCACAGACCGTGAGATCATGCCTTGAGCTGAAATCAAGAGTTGGACGCTCAACCCACTAATCCATCCGGGCGCCCCATGTTGGCCTCACTTTAAAGTGTTTCTTTTTCACCTGGTTTATTTTATAAGCTTTAACTGGAAAAACAACGTGAGGGTCGTTTAGAAAAGAATGAAATGAGAAACTTATCATATCTGTAAAGTACTGGGAATATAACAAGAGAGTGCATGGAAATCGCCTTCTCCACAAACGCTAGAGTACCAATCGCCACCTGGCACGCGAAGTGGATTCCTCTGCACAAGTTCAAGACCACAGCACGGGGCGGCACGCAGGACGGGTCTCCGCAGGGCCACGTGCTGTTTCACCTAAGGCCCAGCATGCCTGGCGCTCGCTGTGTGAGGAAGCGGCGTCCCCACTCGCCGTGCGCAGGGCAGGGACCCGTGTTTGAAGGTTCACGGCCACTTACGGTTTGCTGGTTTGTTTCTGACCAAGGTTCCTTTTGCCAAAATTCAAGACTATCCACTGAGATAAATGTATTATTTCTAAAAAACCCTCCTATCCATTTCGTTACAACTATCAACGACCATGATGTTAAAGCAGCAAGAAAACAAAAATAACCCTGAATGTTTATACTTTGTTGCTGCTTATAGAGTGTCTTGCTCCAAACTCTTCAACCCAAAATGAGAGAATCATAAAAAAGGAAACTGGGTTGCCTCCAAGATCAGCCTCCGGGAACCACCTGCCGGCACATCCAGAGGCCAGCTGTCCCCTCTGTCCCTGTTTCAGCACTGAACTTCTCAAAAACAGACCCGTAACAGGAGGCCAGCATGTGTCTTCTCCAGCTCCCCAGTCACTGCCCACCTATGAAACAACCTAGTTCATTCTGGTCCTAAAGGGAATATATATTCTCACTGCAGAAATTCTAATAAGAAAAGTAAAGAAAAGAGAAAATACTTTTTTTTTTTTTAACGTTTGTTCATTTTTTGAGACCATGAGTGGGGAGGGGCAGAGAGAGGGGGACAGAGGATCGGAAGCGGGCTCTGCGCTGACAGGCTGACAAAGGCGAGCCCAACGCAGGGCTCGAACTCACAAACTGTGAGATCATGACCTGAGTTTAAATTGAACACTCAACCGACTGAGCCACCCAGGCGCCCCTGTCTTTTAATTTCTACTATTAAATAATCAGTCAGCTTCCATGTGGGTGTCTTTCATCCAGTGAAGTGTGAGGACTATTTGAGAAAATAAAAAGTGAGTTATCACATACATACATCCATGTATAGTTGAGTCCCGCTTAAAAAAAAGCTGGTTTAATAGCTGAGTATGGGGTAAGCCCTTTCCTCTAACACTTCCTAATGCTTGGCAATGTGCTCAAAAGGCCTGAATAATCACATGTGCCCCACACTTACCTGTTCCTGTCTACGGTCACTTCAGTGTCTGACTTCTGGCCTGTGGGGTTTCCCTGCACACGTGTTTAAGCCCCTGTCCTGCAGTGGAGCGCACACACGGGAAGTACATGCTGTGTCCTAAGCGCACGGCTCGGTCAGTCCCCCACAGGGAACACACCTGTAGGGGAGCACCCACACTGAGAGGCAGGCGTGTGCGGTCCCCGGAAGGCTCTGCTCTCCTTGGTGACCACCCCCTGCTGACCGACGCACAGATCACTTCGGCCTGTCTCTCAACTTTACGTGGATCAAATCACCTCTGATGCCTCCTCTGGGTCTGCCTTTGCTGTTGTTGACTTTGCACGTTCCTGAGGCTCATTCCTGCCTCCTCGGCCCAGGCCTCTAGCTCGCTCAGCCTCCTCGTTGGGCCACAGTCCACAGCGTGAGGATACCACTTTCCGCTCGCCCGTTCGAGGGTTGATGGGCATTTGGGTTTCTAGCTCTCAGTCTGGAGCTATTATTAATAGTCTGCGCGCATGTTAGGCTCTTGATACATGCAATTAAATATCAAAGTGCTTTCATTAAAAGTTATACAATTTATATTTCTGTCCAGAAAATCTTACCAATGGCCTATCTGATAGGGAACTAAGTGGATTTTCATTGTGTTTTAATTCTCAGGCACATGATAAACTCCTAAACTTCTATATAGTCTCTATATAATACCTCCTTGTAATGAAAAAAGAATAAAACTATCCCTAATACGTTCCTTCTCTTAAAACAAATGACGCACTAATAAACCACTCTAAAAACAGGTGACAAGGAATGTGTATTATGTGCAAAAATCTCTGCACGGGGCAGTCATTATTTATAACAACATACAGAATGGAGGCAACGAGGTGTTAAAAGAACAGTTCAGAAAATCAGAGTAGAGTATTGTCTAACGTAATAGCATGCATTCGTTTAAGTGATGTTTTTAAAGTTTCTAATAACAGTCGGGAATACCTCAGATATAGTGCTAAGTGTCAGAGAGGGTTCCAGAAAATAGGAATTCTCACACCCTGCTGGACAAGTATGGTTAGAACAGGCTTTCCAGGGAGCAACATCAAGCTTTAAAGTAGTCAAAATCCTTTGCTCTAGCAATTCCACACCTGGAACTTTACCTTATAAAGTAAAGCTCAGGCATGAGCACAGAGACTCAGCTTATTCATGGATATGCTGTTTTATAATCACGAGAAAAAAGAAAGCCTAAACCTCCAACACTTGGGACGTGGTTTGAGATCAGAGTACGGCAACAAGATGACCAGAAAATGACCAGAGTTTTTCTCTCCCTGACTCACTGCTGGCAGGAATGCAGAAACGGTACAGCCATCTCGGAAGATGGTCTGGCAATTTCGTACAAAGATAACACAGTTTTATCATCCGATTTGGCAACCACTCAAATTGTGATTTCCTCAAGTTGAAACCTCAGGTCCAGACAAAAATCCTGTGAATGTTTACGTCAGCTTTAATTATATCTCTGCCCAAAACGGGAGGTGCTGCAGCCAAGCGTCCCCCCTGGGTGAATGGATACAGAGCATCGCTCAGCAGAAGGATGTGAGCAAACAGGCTGTAAGAGACACGGGGGAACTTGGGGAGGCCAGTCTGAAAGGGGACGCACTGCAGGATCCCAACTATGTGATGCTCTGGAAAAGGCAGAGCATGCAGACAGGAAGTGACTCCGGCTGTCAGGCATGGGGTGGGGGAGGGAGGAGGAGGCAGAGCACAGGGGACGGTGGACCCTGGAGGGCACCGTGATGGTGGCTGCGTGCCATCACATGTTTGCCAGAACCCACGGACTCCACAGCACACAGTGACCCGGACCTGGACTGTGGGATTTAGCAAGGACACAGCGATAGCGCCTCACCGACGGCAACAAGTGTGACTCGCTAATGCAAGAGGTCGGGCGCCCGGTACAGCGTGCGACTCCTGATCTCGGGGTTTTGCGTTCAAGCCCCACGTTGGACGAGGAGGTTACTTAAAAACTAATGTCAAACTCAGTCATCAAGGATGCTAGGGAGCAGTACGTGGGAGCTCTATGTACTTTCTGCCCAACTTTTCCGGGAACCTAAACTGCTCTCAACCACAAAGTGGATTCCTTTAGAAAAGTTATAGCATGTTCATAAGATAAAATAAGCAACAAAAAAAGACGAAACAAAAACAAAAACAAAAAGATGGAACGGTTATTAAAGATGATGCAGTACTCATTGGCTTAAACATCCTTCTCACACGTGTGACCAGGGTGGTGGGAGAAGCCGGCTAAAGCGCAGTTGGTAGACGTGAACACCGGTGTAAAGGGGGGCCTGTTCAAACCACAAACGCTCACGCGCATCACCGCTGCAGAGCGAGACCACGGGCTGGTGCAGAGCATTCTTTGCTGAGATTTTCTTCTCTTCCTCTAGTTCCCTCAGCAGCTGCCTGCCTGCAGTATACGCGCTGGGTTAGGTGCTAATCCCGCGGTGGGGAAATAACGAGCGTGTGATATTGTACGAACCGGAGCAGAGCTGACCCCTGAACACTGCAGCATGACCTGTGCGAGCCCACTACACACGACTGTTCACTAAGCACAGTTTTCTAAGTGTGTTTCCTGCTCCTTACGATTTCTTTCACGACGCTTTCTCCTTGAGCTTCCTTAGTGTGAGGATAGAGTGTGTGAGACACACGAGCTACAAAGTAAGTGACAACTGACTGTGTGTTACCGGTGAGGCCTCTGGTAGGCTCTTAGTGCTGAAGCCCCTGGGAAATCCACAATTATACTCAGGTCCTCAACTGTGTGGGGGCGGGGGGTGGTGCCTGCTGTACAAGGGTCTAGTGAACATGATTTCAAAAATGAGACGAGACCCTGATCTTGGCACGGTGGTCCCATAAGGGAAGACTGACCTTCACTCTGTGGCCCAACGCTGTGCATGCTGAACCCACGGACACTTGTTGGCCCTCCGAGGTAAAACCTAGAAGAGAAGGGCAGGCGTCACGAGAAAGCCACCGGGGAAAACCTACAAAATGCAACAGAAGTGCAGAAACACACGAGCCAGGCTCACGTTTGGTACTGGATTGTGGGCGACACTGTCACCTGGCAACACTCTGAAGGATGGGGACGGTGCACAGGAGGACTGGGGGCATGTCACAAAAATAAATCCAAATCCAAACAAACACCCCAAACTTCTGGGGAGGTTAGTGAGGTAAGAGGCACAAATAAAGATACTTCTATAGAAAAGAGGGGTAGTGTGAGCTGTCTGCTCTAATGGAATTGTCTGCTGTCTATAAGATTTCATTGCATAACAGCTGTTTCAAAACCCCCTCCTAGGTGCTCGCAGTGCAATATTAAATTTTAAAAAAGCAACATAAAAAGTACTTAATGGTACAATCCCAACTTACAGAAAGAGGAAAATAATACTAAAAGAAAACAGACCAAAATAGAATTGTTAATCTAGGGGCGCCTGGGTAGCTCAGTCGGTTAAGTGTCCGACTTCAGCTCAGGTCATGATCTCACGGTTTGTGGGTTCTAGCCCCGCGTCGGGCTCTGTGCTGACAGCTCGGAACCTAGAGCCTGCCTCGGATTCTGTGTCTCCCTCTCTCTGCCCCTCCCCCCACCTGGCTCTGTCTTTCTATCTCTCAAAGATAAATAAAAATTAAAAAATAAATAAAATCTCTAAAACAAAATTAAAAAAATTAAAAACAGAGACTATAAAAGTGTATGCAAATTATAGTATGTTGACAACCTAACATACACGTGACACACACACACAATTTACACACACACACAATTTACAGACCGGAAGACAATAGTTCCAAATGTTAACCATGCTTATCACTAAGCAGGATTTTTTGTTTACTTCCTTAAATGTCTATTTTTATATTTCTGTAACGTGTGTGAACTATATCCTTTCATGCGCAGAAGGGAATATAAGATTTTAAGTTAACTCTCCTCCCGTAAAAAAGCAAAACATATTAAGTATGAGGCATGTTGGGTATCTTGAAGTTAAACATAAAAAGTGAAGTAAAATTTAAAATACTCCCTCTCCTGAACAGTTATGGGTCTCTGAAAGAACTTCTAAGAAACCAACCAAAAGGAGCCACAGAAAAGCACCTGCAAGCTGCTCGCTTATCTCTCCTTACCTGTCGGCAATGCTCGAGGGCTTGTCGCCGATGGGCACCAGCACCCCACCCCAGAGAGATGTGGAGAACACCTGTGGGAACACAAGCACAGCCGTTTCCTCAGTGTCCCTTCCCGCGACGGGCATCCTCGGCCGGAGGCCGCGCTGAGATCTGGTCGGGGCCGCGCCCCGGGAACGTGCGGCTGGCGTGCCTGGAGAGCTACGGTTGACGGTCTTTTGTGGCTACTCTGAAACCCTGCACCTTCAAACTGCAAATGAAGACATACAAACACAGGCGAAGCCCAGGCCCAAGCCCGAGCAGGTGAGGTTTCCATGGCTTTGATTCCGGGGGTAGGGATAGGGGGGGCGCTGAGCGAGGTGGGAGTCACGCCACGTCCGGCTGGGGGACAGCAGCACCTGTCCCCACCTCCACCAGGCCCTGCAAGCCCCCAGCAGCGCTCCCTGCTCCCCTACGGGCGCCCCACTCGCCCAGCCGGTGACGTCACACTGGGCCCCCTCCCGACGGAAACCTTTCACCCTCACTGCGGGGCTCAGAGAGCTCTGCCACCTGGGCCACCCCCATCCTCCCCGCACACACCCCTGCCCCCTCGGGCGCCCATAGCCCCCGCCCGTCCTTGAACAGGCTCTAGCTCCTGGCTCCCCTGCCCTGCTCCGGGCTCTGCTGCCGCGGCCGGGACGCCTCCCCGGGCCACCCTACGTAAGCAGGGCGCCCACCCTCTGCTCTGCTTCATTCCTCAGAATGCTCACCGCCCGCTCAACTGTCCACACGCGAGCCTGCTCGGGGGTCTCCCTCCACTAGAGTGCGAGGGGGCAGGGGCTGCGCTCCACTTGCTGACGTACTTTTAGTGCCCAGGCAGTGCCGGGCAGCCGACGCAGCCATGGGGGGCGGGGGCGCAGGGGAGGGTGGTAGCACAGGAGCCCCCATCTGGGCCCAGGAGGCCCAGAGACGTGCCTGTGCCCAAGTGTTACCATGGCCGGGACGAGGGGCCCCGGCAGAGGACGCGGTACGCGTGCCTGGAAGTAAGAAGCCTCGTCCTCCGGGACGCGAAGAGTAGTTTAGCAGAGGAAAAGCAGGGGGAGAAGGGGTGGCGCGGAGACCACAGGCCACGTGCCCGTCAACAGCGCCCGCGCACAGGACAGCAGAGCCCCAAGGCTTGCATTGCGGAAAGAGCGGCACGACTGCAGCATGGGGAGGAGCGGGGGGGTAGGGGGGAGTGGGGGGGCAGCTGTTCCTCAGGAAAGGACCTCCCCGCCAAGATGGGAGAGAGCGGCATGGGATTCGAGTGACACTGAGCGGCCACAAGAGGCTGGACCCGGCACTTGGCGGCCTTCGGGGCGAGGGCTCTGAGCAGTCAGAAGGTCAAGGGCAGCTGTGCGAGCCGGTGCACTCGGAGCCCACGTGCAGGTACAGACTCAGGAGGGAGGGAAAGCTGGTTTCAGACGTGCCGAATCTGAATCTGAAGTGTCCCCAAGGAACACGGTCGAAACGCCCTGCAGCACGTGACCCGGGAGGGAGCACGGCACAGGGACGGAGCTGAGCCACAGGCTGGGCGAGATGCTCCGGGGGCCGGGGCCACGCGGGACACCCCCCCGGGGAATCTAGGCCGGAGTGTGACCGCCCACACAGGACTCCACCAAGGGGAAAGGGACGCGTGGAAGGAGATCACAGTAACGGCGGGGCCCAGTGAGGACGGCGCCAAGCGCTGTGGCCAGGCCCGGGCAGGGCCCCGCAGCGCTCGCCCAGCTGGGCAGGGAGGCCTTGGCACCAGCAGCAGCAGGGGAAAGGCAGGAAGGAAATTCAACGAGTGAGGAGTCCAGGCCTGACTGGGAGCAGCAACAGGGGACTCAAACAGACACGTGGACCATTTCATTCACGCCAACTGTCGCCCCGGGTTTTACAGTAGCGAAGGGCACGGGTGGGGGTGGGGCGCCCAGGGAGCTGACCCAGCCCCCCAGGGCCCTGCGCGGACTGAGGAGCAAGCCAGGGGCTCCTGCGCCTCGGTCAGAATCAGGGCACCTACTCCTCATTCCTGAGCAAGTCAGGAGAAACCAAACCAAACTGGATTAAAGCTTAGAAACTTCCGGAAGTGCCCACAGCCCTTCAGACCCAGCAAAATAAGGTGAAGGCTCAGAATTTGTATGGAAGTGACCTTGGGAGGGAAAGGAGGTGCATTCCTCTGTCCTCCACACACGTCTCCACGACGGCCAGAGCCGACAAACGGGGAGGGGGGGCGCTCCTGGGCCCCACATACAATGAACGACAGGTTTCTTGTAAAGAGAAAAAGGACGGCTTCCGGCTTCTCCCCACAGTATCTTCAACTCTGGGTAAGTTGAAAAGATCAAACACGAACGTTCTGCACTTCCACTCTGGACCATGCCTTCACTATCCAGGGACGGAGGTCCTGACAATGGGGGACAAAAATGCAGGAGACCATTCTGGCCGGGCACTCACGGAGTCGAATATGAGCTGTTTATTCAACTGAAGCTCAAAATCTTCTTTTATGAAGCTCACGTCTCCTCCTGTGTAGCCTGCCAGCTCCTGGGGGTCGAGAATCCGCAGGTCAAAACGTCACTGCAAGTGCCGTTTCATTTTGTTGTTTTGTACTTTTAAAAAGGCAAGAGATGCTTCTGTCTGTCTCCTAGAAGCTCGATTCTAGTTGTTCTAAAAAGTACCAGGGGACTGACAAATCCAGAATCCTAACTCCTGTGCGGGAGCGAGAAACACTGGCAATAGGGACTTCCTACTGCAAGATACGGCTTGCTTGGCCTAACCAGCATTTGGGAAGCAGAATTAGCCAGCCCATCTTAAACAATCTGGCTCATTTTTTATACAAATCTGACTTCCTGCTGGTCCTCTGATCCTGAAGACCAGGGCAGATGGAGCACTGGGGCACCACCTAGCCGGCATCCACCCTCTTGGCCTTGAGGTGCCTAACTAGTGACCAAGGGATTCGCTGAACCCAGTCAGAACCTTCCTCCAGACCTAGCAAGTGACACCATCCTGGAGGCCGGAGCTCCATCCCTGCTCCGCTCTTTGGAGACAGGACACTGCACTATGGAGAACAATTCCAGAGCTGGGACCCTGACGCTGGACCAGCACCCCTGCCAGCCGTTCTAGAACAATCTCCACGAATAAAGGCACATATACAAAATCTGCCTCCCATGTGGGACCCTCCCCTCTGGAGTCACTGGTGAAGGAACGGTACCTGGTTAACTTTCAGCAAAGCACCTCTTCTGGGCAAGATGGAGGAGTTCCGTGAGTCGATGACCATCGCGTGCTGGAAGAGACGCGCATCGGGCGTTCTGCTGTGAGCGGGCGCTCAGGTGACGAGGAGCACCATCCTGAGTGCTAACTGCAGGCTGGGCCCCCTGCCGGGCCCCTCGCCCTACCCCGTCACTTCATCGTCAGAAAAGCCCTCTAGGAAGGCAGCACCCTGTTCTGATTTCAGAGGTGGGGGGAGCCCATAGGGTGGGGCAGACTTCCCAAGGAGCTTGACCCTAACGTAAGTGACCTCCGCCAGCTTTCAGCTACACTCCTTGCTGTCACCACTGATGGTACTCAGAGCAACTTGGCAGTGCCATCAAGTCACAAAGTGGCCGGCAGCCGCCCAACCCGCAGCCATCCTCGGTCCCCAGTGTGGGGACACCACCCTCCCAGCGCCTGCGAGTCTGTCAGAGGACAGGAAAGCCCTTACCGAAAGAGAGGATTTCAGCGAGTGCCCGCTTTCCTTCCGCACAGCGAAGGACGCCGCCCTTGAGAGGCAGCCCAGCTCCCGCCACACGCCATCCCACTTGACCGTGTGGCTGGTCTTCCAGATGGGAAACTGTAAGCATACACAGGGAGCATCCCCAGTCGGGCCTTGGAAGGAGGTGTCGTTACATGACTAACCGATTAAATACCTGAGAGGCATTACTTTGGATGGTGGGCAAGAGGGGGGGCAGGAAGGGAAGCAGCGGGGAGAAAGCCAGGACACTGCCCAGAGCGGCAGGACTGTGCCCTGGGGAGCAGCCGTATGAGGGCCGCACTCAGCTCTGTAACCCACGGGCCTCTTCCGGCGCTAGGATGACCTGATGCTCACCCCACCTGACTCTGCCGACCCCAGGTCCGAACCAGGCTGGGGGACGGCAGTGACCCACGTCAGACCCCGCAGAAGAGGGAGGAGATGAAGGTGCTCCTGAGCGAAGAGCACCCTCCCTGCGGCCAGAGGCCTAAGCCCATGACCCCTGGGCACGGGGACCTGCCTCTTGTCCCGACCCCCCAGCCCCGAGGTCAGGCCCGCCTCGGTTCCTGTCTCAGAGACGAACAGTGAACACTGTCTGGTGGCCTCAGTGACTCTGAGGTGACTCTTACAAGGAAACCAGGTCACTTCACACTCCCTGGAGCGAGTCAGCCGCTGGGCACTCTCTTGGGCCTCGCTCTGGCGAGAACTCAGGAGTACTCCCCTCAACTCGATTTCTTATCAAGTGCCCACAAGGCACCAGGTCAGGTTGGGGAGGCGGAGAAGACACAGGCCAGCCTCACTCACGGGCCATTTCTGCCCCCAGGGCCACACGAGACTCAGCTGTGTCCCCAGAACGCCCGGGGAGGGTGTCCCGCTGGCCCAAATCACGTCTCCAGGAACTTACAAGGCAGCTCGTGACAAGAGAAGCACGACCGCGCAGAGGCGGCCCATCGCGGGTCTCGGCGCGCACGGTCAGGACAAGGAGGGGCCAGGCGGTGCCCTTGTTCTGCACAGGGAGCCCCGCTCTGTGCTGGCACCAAGGACACACTGTGCGTCCAGGAGCTTGTCTCCTGACAGCAGGGCAGCCGGCTGCCAGTCCTCTGTCCCCCTCCCCTTACCCCACACCCCCGCCCCACGGCCTATGCCAACACACAGCCTTCACCTCTGCTGCTCCCTGGGGATAAACGAGGTGTTCCGAAGATGCTGCTCTTTAGAAAAGGCTTAGAAGCAAGGGATTAAGGGGGACACGGGAGAAAGACGGGGAGAAAGCCACAGCCCCTGGCACGCTGCTGACGGCCTCTGGAGAGGGTGGCGTTGACCTGGGGACCCTCCTCAACCCCGCACAGGGCGGGAGGCGTCTAGGGCTGCATCTGTCACACAGGGCAGGTGGCCACACAGAATGGAAAGCAGAGCTGCAAACGTTCATGTCGCGTCCCGAGCCAGTGGCCGCCGGCGGCCTCCATGCCGGGGGCTTCTGCAGCTCTGGTGTGTGTGCGAGGCCGAGGAGCATGAGTGCAGGCGTCCCCTGTGCTGACAAGCGGCACAGCGGTGCTCGAGCCTGGGGAGGGAGGGACGGCATGGCTCCAGCGGGGGCCCTCGGACCAGAGCCGCCAGGCGGCCTGTGCCCCCTCCCCGAGACGCTGGCTCAGCAGGAGGCAGGGCCCAGGAACGGGCATCTCTACCTGGCTCACGGGTGAAGCTATGCTGCATCTGAAGGCCACCCCCAGGGAACTGCTTTCACTCGGCCCTGTGTGTCCAGGTCCTTCCTCTCTGGCTGAAGCCCCAAACAGGAGGGGATGGGGCCGCACAAGCATAGAAAGGGAGGGAGAAGGGCAGGGGTCATCGGAAAGCCAAAAAGCGGTCAAATGGCAGGAGTGCCGTCTGCTGCACTTAGTCACCTCTGGGTGGAAGAACACTTAAGGGCAAATGGGGGATGGAGGCCTTCAGGCACCGGAAGGGACCTCGCTGGCTCTCAGAAGCTGCCGGCTTCAGCACGTCCGAGGAAGGACACGCACACGGCATCACGGGAAGCCGGGAGCGGACCTCCACTGTGAAGCCAGGCCGCTCTCCAACCCCGGCAGTCCGCGCGGGGCCGGTGGCGAGGCGCCGGGCCGGGAAAGCAGCTGACGGCAGAGGGCCAAAGCCGGAGGTGATCCCGGCCACGACGCCCGCACTCCAGGCGCCCTCCCACTGACTCTGGCAGCCAGGTGCCTGGTGCTCCACGCGAGGCAGGGAGGGAGGGCGAGAGGGTACTCACGCTGTACTCGGCCGACACCCCTCTGTCCGTCTCCCGCAGCGAGCTCCAGGGGAACTGGCCGGTAACTTTGTACAGGTTTACGGAGAAGCTAGGAGACAACGGGACAGAGCTTTACAGGCTGGAACAGGGACGCTAACTGGTGCGCGTGTGCAGCAACAGACATAAAAATACACGTCTGGGGTTCGTCTTCGGGAGGGAAGCTACGCCACGCTGTGACAGCGCAGACGCGCCAGCTGATCCTGTCCACGCTTCTTTGTACAACCAAGGCCTCTGCTCTAACTTTTAAACCAGTCAAGCCCCCGTACTCAACAATCCGTTTGGCTTCCTACTTTCTCTCGAAGTTTCCAGGCCGTGGTTTGAAGAAGGACAGGCCATACGACGTTTCTTTGGTTCCATAGGAAAACTGAAAAGTCACCTTTTCCGCACGGCCTAGGAGATTAGGGAGTTTGAGGCCGAGCACCTATGAGGAATGGAAAGACAGGGGTGGTTTAAATGGAAGGAATGGCCAGTGTTAAGAAGGGCTCTGTTAAGGGACTCTCATACATGCAGGACACAAATGCAGGCTGAAGGGCCAGCCTTTCATCTGGAACTGCTTTTACTCTGCACAGCAGGCCTCTGCCGAGGGCACGTGCCCCCACATGCGCCTGATGACAACAGACAGGCTCAACTCGCTAACTGCGAAGCCAGGGCATCAGCTGCTTGGGTCTGGAATTCAGGAGAACTTGAACAAGAAACTTAATGCAAACACTCCCCCAGATCGTCCCTAGTTAACCACTGATGTGACTCAGGTCGCCAAATAATCTCTAACGTGTTATAACCAGGATGGGTGACGCAGACAAGGAGCCCCGGGTGACTGGGGGGGTGGGGGGGTGTTGCTGCATCGCTACGGCGCACACCGACACAAACCTAACACGGCGTGCTAACTAACCAGAACTAGAATTAAATTAAAACATACTGTGACCAGTGAGAGGAAGATCACCGAGAAGCCGCGCATTCACCCGCAGAGACGAAGAGGTGGGACAGTCTTAAAACTACCGTCAGTTTTGGGGACGGTCCCCTTTCCAAAGCCCCTAAGGGCAAGTCCCACTTGAGGAAGCACATCCTACCATGCTGCCTTCGTTGTTCCCGACCATGGTGTTGTAACTGCCCGTCAGTCTCCTCAATTCGGTGACCTCAAAGGTAACGTCCAGCCCATTTGGAAGAGCATCGTCACCTATGTAATCAAGGAATATTGAACAGTGAGGCGGCCAGGACGTGGGGGTGGTTTTAGTCCCACTACTAAGAGAAAGACAGAAAGCCATCTGAAGGTTGATCGTATTTCACAATCTTTGGAAAACACACCCTCTGTTTTCAAATTCGAGAACACTCCCACGCAAAAATTACAATTTGTTTATCTGTTTAAGCACACGTTATCTGCGAAGGGCATTTGTCTTCCTACTGGGGAGTCCTTGAAAACACTTGGGGCCTCAGTTCGCTGACATTAACACGTAGAATCCCTGTGGCCTGAGGGATTCCAGTAACCCTGAAGGAGAAGCAACAAACTCAGTACGAATGAAGAGGTGACTGTCCTTGTCTTTTCCCAAAGCCAGGGGGGCGGCACCGGCGGAGCCGTTAGAGTCTGCAGCTGCCTGGGCACCCACCGTGGGCCCCGGGGTGCCGGGGAGCAGGTTCAGCTCTGCCAGGCCCAGGGGTTGTACACAGAAGGGTGGGGCGCACCCTGCCACCCAGGCTGGGCGGCAGCCGCACGTGGCAAGCTGCCTGAACCCTGGCTCCGAGATGCTCAGACATGGTCCAGGGTGGAACCTCGACACTGTTATTTTCTTTAAACTAATAGACTCTGCTGTTTAGAGAGGCATCAGGTTTATGGAAAAATCAGGCAGGAAGCACAGAGAGTTACCATATAGACACCCCACCCACACTTTGTCTGCGACCATCTTGCATTACTGTGAGACGTTTGTCACAAGTCACACAACAATAGCGACACATCAGGAGGGACTACAGGGAAATCTGCATGGCTCATGCTTGGTGCTGCACGTCCTAGAAGGTTTGACAAATGGCGGGTGTCAAGCCCCTCATCACAGGATCAAGTGGAATGGCTTGCTGCCCTAACCACTCTTCTTTTTTTTTTTTTTAATTTATTTCTGAGAGAGAGAGAGAGAGAGACAGTATGAGCAGGGGAGGGTCAGAGAGAGAGGGAGACACAGAATATGAAACAGGCTCCAGGCTCTGAGCTGAGCTGTCAGCATAGAGCCCGACGCAGGGCTCGAACCCACAAACCATGAGATCATGACCTGAGCCGAAGTTGGATGCTCAACCGACTGAGCCACTCAGGTGCCCCCTAAACACTCTTCTTAACAAGAGCCCGGTAATTCTAGCGTGCAGCTGGGGCGGAGAGCCGGACAGAGGTGCCCCCTGACCACATGCACAGCACGTTCACAGCAGGGGGTGGGCGCAAAGACGGAAAGCTACCAACAAGACCCGCCACCAAGGAAAGCACTCCGGGGTAGCGGCAAGGGCCACCTGCGTCACCAGGGCAAGTTAAACCTCCCGGAGCCCTGGTTCCCTTGACTAGAAACACGTTTCCGGAAACAACACCAGTCCCGGGTCTGGTGAGGACGAAGCTGGACGCTGCACACACAGGCTTAGGGCAGAGCCTCGCCTGGAGCGACTGTCGTCACTGCTCTTGGCGCAGGGGCGGGGGGGGGGGGGGGGGGGAACCACAGAAGAGCTGGCCGCGCCCCCACCCTCCGCTGACTGGAAGGTCTGCCCCTGGGCTTTCCCTGGTGCCCAGCACAGGGCCTGCCTGAAGCAGGTGCTCAAAAAGCCAAGAGGAAACGCTGGTCAGGTTGACAGACTTGCACAAGAGCAAACAGCAAACAAGCACGTGAGCAAAAACGAAAAGTGAAATCTGACTCCCAGTGCCATCGTTTCGAGCACACATTTAGAGGGAGTCTGTCACCCACATTTAAAAAAAACTTTAGAGGGAGTCTGTCGGCCAGGAGCCCACGTGGACACCTGCCGGGCCGGGCTACCCTGTACGAAGCTGGGCTCCCTTCTCTGATCCTTCTCCGAACACCTACGCCCTCTATGGGTTCAGATGACAGTACCTTCAATATCACCCGTCCACCCTCAGCCTGACACAAAAGTCATCACCATCATCAGCCAGTTCCGCCCCTGGGACAGCTAAACACCGAGACCTACGGGCGCGACGCACCTCCAGGCACACCCCATGTGTGGCCACACACACAGCTTTCGTGGCGCTGCAGGACGGGTGGGCGGGGTAATCAGAGGCCCTGGGCCATCAATAGGTACCTTGACATGTATCGATCAGAACATCCACTTGTCGAAATATCCCGAGGCGAAGCAGTTTCTCCCGGGCTTCGTGAGATTTCCGCATCACCTGTGACAGAGTAACAGAGACTGTCTTCCCCTAATGGCCACGAGACCAGGCTGGAGGCTTAGCGTTTGGTGCTGAGGCACTGAAGAGAGCGCCACCGAGACGGGACACGCGAGGGGACGGACCCAGCGCTCGAGGGGAACAGCCAGGCGGCGTGATGGGCAAGAATTCTACGTGCGTTAACGTAAAGAGACCTCCTTGCAGCGTCAAAAGCGAGAGGTGCGGAAACAAAGCCGTTATGGTGTAAAGGCCCCACGTGTCTACACCCGTGTGCACCTGTGTGCACTCCGCACAAGGAGCCCAACCCCACTACCCCTGCAGAGCCAGCCTGGGGCCGGCGGGGGAGGGGACACCTACCTTCTGCTCACTGCCCTCCGTACCATCACACTGTGCTTATCTATTTTGTTTTATGTTTCTTTGAGAGCGTGCGTGCGCATCAGGAGGGCCAGGGTGGGAGACAGAGAATCCTAAGCAGGCTCCAGGCTGTGACTTTCAGCTTTTTTTTTTCTTAATAGCAATTTTCTTAACGTGAGAACAGCCAAATAGCTGGGTACTGATGTGGTGAATGAAGGCCAAAAGGAAATGTAGGTAGAACTAAATTTCCTTACCCCCCCCCCCCCGCCGGGCACTGCCAAACACCTGAGGCAGGCAGAGTAGAACATTCCTCCAGGAACTCCCTACAGACTCAATGCTAATGCTTTGCTGGAGAGAAAATCCACCTTAGCCTGACCAGAGCGAGGCTTCCAGCCTCCGAGGAGCCTCCTTAGCCTCTGAAGGTCTGTTGGAACCTCCCTTTATCCTCACCTCCCCCAACTCCCTAGCATATGACCAGTCACTCCACACAGCGCCCGGGCAGCTCTTTCCGCTGCGGGGCCTGTCCCCGGGCTTTAACAAACCACCTCTTGGCATCGCAGGCATCTCAAGCTTTCTTTTTTTCTTTTTTTTTTTTTAATATTTTTTATTTATTTCTAGGAGAGAGAGAGAGACAGCGTGAGCAGGGGAGGGTCAGAGAGAGAGGGAGATACAGACTCTGAAATTGGCTCCAGGCTCTGAGCTGGCAGTCAGCACAGAGCCCGACGCGGGGCTTGAACCCACAAACTGCGAGATCATGACCTAAGCGAAAGTCGGACGCTTAACTGACTAAGCCACCTAGGCGCCCCACAAGAATTCTTTCTTGGCCTTCAGCTACGAACCCCAACAGTGTCCCACCTCACATGCTGACAGGGGGCCCCCTGGAGGAGGCTGCTGGGGACTCTGCCCGGACACGTCCAACGTGGTTCAAGGGCAGAGAAGGACAGAAGGTGCCCACCAAGGAGAGGACGGAGATGGTACAACCCAGGATGACATAAATGGAGGTGGATAAAGGCAGCAAGGGCCCCGAAGCGACAGCAGGAGTGGGTGACAGTGGGGCGCCCACCCCACCAGGGAGCAGGCCGGAGTACTGAGCGGGGTGCCTGGGAGGGAGTTGGCAAGTGGCGTATCAGCTCCGATGACCACGCTGGCTGGTTGTGAAGAACACAGGGACAGACCAGCCTCAGGGACAGGAGGGACCAGAGGCGAGGGTGAGTGCAAACGCCCGTTACGTTTGTGGGACGCACCCGGGGGGCCTGGGGAGGCTCAGCCTGGGCGCACCAAGGCTCTCTTTCAGGGTGGGAGGCAAGGTCATGTGCACAGAGGCTGGGGCAGGAGCTCAGTGGCTCCAGACAGGAGGCTCCTCAGAAGGGAATGGAAAATAATGCCACGCAGATAGGACTTGCCTCGATAAGGTTTTTCGCCTTAAAAACGTCTCCGATTTCACATATGATGATATCATCTTTGGTTCTTCCGAGTCCATCAAAATGAACATGTTGAACAACCACCTAAATATGACAAAGGGACACCGACTGTTATGCTGGTCTTTTTTTTTTTTTTTTAATTCTAGTGTAGATAACATATATTGTTATATTAGTTTCGGGTGTATGGCGGTGATCAACACTGCTGAGCATTCTGCTGGCTCAGCTCAGTAAGTGCACTCTTAATCCTCCTCAGCTGTTTCCCCACGTCCCCTCCGGTGACCAGCAGTGCGCTCTCTTGTTAAAGTCTGTTTCTTTAGGTGCCTGTGGCTCCGTCGGTTAGCATCTGACTTTGGCTCAGGTCGTGATCTTACAGTTCATGTATTCGAGCCCCGCGTCAGGCTCTGTGCTGACAGCTTGGAGCCTGGAACCTGCTTCACACTATGTGTCTCCCTCTTTCACTGCCCCTCCTCTGCTCACACTCTGTCTCTCTCTCAAAATTTAAACAAATATTAAAAAAAGCCTGTTTCTTGATTTGTTTTTCTCTTTGTTCATTTCGTAAATCCCGCACAGGAGTGAAATCATATGGTATTTGTCTTTCTCTGACTTCTTTCACTTAGCATTATACTCTCTATATCTATCCACATCATTGCAGATAGCAAGGTTTCATTCTTGTTGTCTAATATTCCATAGTCTGTGTGTGTGTGTGTGAAACACACACGTATACATCTTCTTTAGCCATTCATCTACTGATGGACATTTGGGCTGCTTCCACAATCTGGCTATTGTACATAATGCTGCAGCAAACGTAGGGGTGCATGTATCCCCTTGAATTAGTGTTTCTATGTTTTGGAAGTAAGTGCCCAGTAGTGCAATTGCTAGATTATAGGTTAGTTCTACTTTTACCTTTTTGAGGAAGTGCCATGCTGTTTTCCACAGTGGCTGCATCAATTTGCATTCCCACCAACAGTGCATAAGGGTCCACTTTTCTCCACATCCTCACTAACACCTGCGATTTCTTCTGTGTGTGATTCTGGGCATTCTGATACATGGAAGGTGGTATCACCCTGCAGTTTTGATGTGCATTTCCCTATAACGAGTGGTGTGGAGCATCTTTTTGGGTGTCTGTTGGCCATCTGGATGTCTTCCTTGGATGTCTGTTCATGTCTTCTGCCCATTTTTAATTGGATTGTTTAATTTTTGGTGATCAGTTGTATACGTTTTTGGTACATTGTGGAAACTAACCCTTTATTTGCAAATATCTACTCCCATTCCATAGGTTCCTTTTTGGCTTTGTTGACGGTTTCCTTCACTGCGCAGAAGCTTTTTATTTTGATGTAGCCCCAACAGTTTCTTTTTGCTTTTGCTTCCCTTGCCCCAGGGGACCAATCTAGAAAAAATTGCTACTGCTGTCAGTGAAATTACTGCCTGTGATCTCTTCTAGGGTTTTTATGGCTTCAGGTCTCACACTTAGGTCTTTAATCCGTTTTGAGTTTATTTTTTGTGTACGGTGAAAGAAAGCTTCGTTCTTTTGCACGTAGTTATAAAAAGGCACTGATTATTAGGTAAGAGACAGAACAAGAGATCAAAGCTAAAGACAAAGGTCTGAAAATTAAGTCAAGGATGTTTTTTCAAATTTAATGATCCACACTTCTCCATTCCACACTTTATTTACTTTCCTGCTTTTTTAGAACCCTGGTTATCCGAACCTATTCTTTGCCAGGTGTCTACTTCCTGTGGCTGAGACTTACAAGGTCTCTGTACCCAGATGATCGCTGATGCTGGGACCCCCAACTTAATAACTGTGCATCTTGCTAGAGAGTTTGTGCTCATTTCAATTAGCATGATAAAGGCTGCTCAGAGCCTCTCCCCTCCCTGTCTGTAGATGCTTATTTACTTCATTTATTCAATACCAACACACCGAAAACCTACAAGCCAGGGATTGTTCTAAGCACTGAGGATACGGTGGTGAACAGGACATAAATTCCTGACTCAATGGAGCGTACCCTCCAACGGGGGTTAAAATAGGCAATGTGTACAGTTTAGCAGATGGTAATGAGTAACAGAGAAAAACAAAGCAGAGATAATAGGGAATATTAGGGAAACGCATAACCGAGGGCCATCAGAATACTGCAAAAGGTCTTCAGTGTATTATCACCAAAAACGTGCTTACACTTCTTCAGCTGGATTTAAATTCCAAAGGCCACAAAGGTTAGGAAAAGTTTCACTCTCTTCTCTGGACACAATATAAGCTTAATTATAACTTGAGTTTGTCCTTGAAATATGTTGGGTTGGTTGGTTGGTTGTTTTTTTTAAATAACATAAATACAAAAACGTCAGTCTAAACGTCCCCACATAAATACACTATTTCTCTAAAACCAGAAGCTATCTCTCTAAAAGTCACCAGCCTTTCTAAAACAGTTGGCTATAAACTCTTCTTTAACGAAGGCACGGATACAGGCCTCTCCTCTGTCCCTGAGGGCTTCTGTCTGCGGAAGCCAATGACTCTGGCAGAGACTGCATCACGCCCTTCAACAGAAACTCACATCTTTGTTTTCAAGAATCTCCTGTTTAGCCTCAGGTTCCACTTCAACAAACTCAGCTTCTTCTCCTAATCCCCCAAAATCAGGTCCATTAGCTGGAAGAGGCTCCAAACTCTAAAAGAGAGGGAGAAAACACACATAAATAAACTTACACAAAAAAAACCTCAAAATCTTTGAGGCGTCTGGGTGACTCAGACAGCTAAGTGCCTGACTCTGGCTTTCAGCTCAGGTCACGATCTCAAGGTTCCAGCCCCACCTCGGCTCTGTGCTGATGGTGCTGAGCCTCCTTGGGATTCTCTCTCTCTCTGCCCCTCCCCTGCTCGCTCGCTCTCAAAAGAAATACATAAACTTAAAAAAAAATTTTTTTTAATCTCTTTTGAGTTTTGTCTTTAGCTGGTGTTCCAGAAAGCTCGGTACTGCGTTTCCCTCTGCTGAGTGGAGGCTGGGGAGAACAGGGCAGATGTAAGTACTGCTGACGTGCAAGCCCCAATAAGCAGGGAGTCCCCGGGCGGTCACTGGAATACTGAGGACTGCGTCACGAACTGAGGCCGACAGGACTATGGCTGTTTGGTTCTGTACACCTAGGCCATCTCAAGAAAAAAGTAGTTAAAAATAAGCTGCCACAAAGACACTTATCAAAGAAAAGAAAACAAATCGCTTTTTTGGTGTTACAGAAAGTATTCTAATTTTTTAAATCCAAATTGGATACATCCTAGGATAGGATGTACACCCTGAAAGCCTTAGTCACACGTTAAAAGGAGCTGCGTATGTTCATGAAACGTACCAGAAGGCAGTCACCTGCTTCAGTCTGAACGAATATCATCTCAAAAGCAGTAAAGCAACTTGTAAATAAGAACTGCACAGGCTGTGCCCGGCATAGTCCTTCCAGCGGGCCGGGATAAATTCATACAACGTTGGATAACACACATATAGTATTGTATGTTTAATTCAGTGACTTGCTTAAATACGGTGACTCCCAGGCGCTCCGGGGAATGGAATCGGTCCAGTGTGGCAGGAGGGACAGGAACAAATACGCAGATTTGGAGGAAAACCATCCTAACCAGTATCTGGCTGCTTCCTTATTCCAATTCTCTACCAATAGGTGCTTTCAAAGTGCACAGCTGTGTCTGACTGCAGCACGTGCAGCAATAGAGGCACTGGGACACCCCCGCCCTGCCCCCCCCCCCCCCCCCCCCCCCCTGCCCCCCCCCCCCCAGATACACTCCCCCAGCTCCTGGCAGTCCTTCCTCCATAATGTCACTGGTTCTCGGGAGAGGTCTCAACCTGGCATGTCCCCTTCCCCACTCCTGCTCTAAAAGACGGTGACGGCCCTGAAGAGCGACTGCAGGGACAGAATCCAACTAGAGCCCTGAGCAGGGCACGCGAGGAAGGCCCAGGTCTGCTCCTCCGAGTTCAACCTCCACCACTCCCGCGACCCTCACGTGTTACGTCTGCGCACACCTTGTTCTCCCCGCCCAGAATAACTTCCTGAAATGATCTGCCTTTCATGTGTGAGCCATCCCTGGCTTCTGCAGGCGGGATGGGCCCTTCCTGTAGCGGGCTACCTCTGGACACTGGAGGTCGTTACCACTGCCTGCTGAGCACTGGGCTGACAGCCGGGGCCACAGCAGTGAACGAGACAGACCGAGACCTCGCCTCATGGTGGCTAAAGCAGGGTATTTACACGAGTAAAAAGGGAAGACAATGCTGGGCAAGGAATAGATCATTTCTTTCATACCACCATCTCTTCATTTTTATTGTGCAATGTTTTAAAAAACTGAATCATTACTGTATTTCTCAAAATATTCACTAATTAAAAAAGTAACTTTTTACCTGCACCCTTTCACAAACATGCTTCCAGTATTTAAGTTGACACTATGTAAAAAAGTATGTTAAATCTGTGCAAGCTTTACACAGTACACACTATAGTTAGGAACATATGCACATATTCACTCTATTTGATCTGAATGCTTAGCAAAGATACACAAGGTTTATATTCCATTACGCTAAAAATATCCCATTACAGTTCCTGAAATTTCACAGCACGAAACAAGGTTCACTACAGATCTGTCATTCTCATTTGTCCCCTTTAATCAGAAATTCAAACTCTGGGAGAACCCAGGTGGCTCAGTCAGTGGCGTGTACGACATTTCCTCAAGTCACGATCTCATGGCTTTGAGTTCCAGCATCAGGCTCTGTGCTGATAGTGCGGAGCATTCCTGGGATTCTCTCTCTCCTTCTCTCTGCCCCTCCCCTCACTTGTTCTCTCTCTCTCTCTCCCTTTCTCAATAAATAAATTTTAGAAAAAAATTAAAACTTTAATAGATGATGTCTTTACGATTTTACAGTTACATCAGAGTTTGATGTCGGAGAATAAACGGTCTTACTAAGAGAGTCATTTGTTCACCAAGTATTAAGCACGTGGGTGAGCACGTATGAAATCCTCACCCTCACAAATTTACATTCCAGTGTCTGGAAGAGCAGGCACGGACGGGGTAAGGATTTGGTGAAATGAAAGAAACGAAGTGTTTGGATCTAGCTCTATCCTTTTAGTAGCTCAATCCACCAGCACTCGGCAGGTTTTCTTTAACACACGTATGGGTATGTTCAAGGCAGCGGCCACTGGAGGGACAGAAATGCAATCAATTTACTGAGTTATAAACAGCATCTTTAAAGTGATATAAGCTAAAACCAAATAGAAAAATAAGCAAACGGATGCCTGGGTGGCTCAGTCGGTTGGGCGTCCAACTCTCGGAGGGTTTTCAGCTCAGGTCATGATCTCATGGCTCATGGGATCAGCCCTGTGTTGAACTCTTGTGTTGACAATTCCGAGCCTGCTTGGGATTCTTTCTCTCTGCCCCTCCCCAACCTGTGTGCGAACAGCGCGTGCTCTCTCAACAATAAATAAACATTTAAAACTAAGAAAAAGAAGAAAACATAACCGATACTTATGGGACAGTATCACAAAACCTCTGTTTCACATATGCGCGAGGGTACCACATGGCAAACATAAAATGCCTTCTTACTGCAAATCCTGACCAAAACGTTCAGATAACACCGGCCAGTGGCATGTAAAATTCAAATCAGAGAATATTTTTTGCGAACATATTAATCAAAGGAGCAGACATGTTAGCATCAAAGGAGCTCAATAAAACAAAGATTTCTGTTGTTGTTTTCTGTATCCCCAGCAGCTGTATGTAGCCAGGCCACACAAACTAATGAATAGTTTACTTTGAAACTAACAGGTTACTTTGCTGGAGATGCTACAAGCGATGCAAACCTGCAAACAGAGTCATGTGCAGCTGCTACTGTAACATCTAGAAACTCAGACTGGAAAAGGGTAAGACAAAAACTCAAATAGCTAAAACGGGCACCGCAGGAAAGACAGCAAGGAAGTCAGCAGCACGTCCCAATGAGGCCATATAGGAGGAGGCGTATGGGGCGCCTGGGGGGCTCAGTAGGTTAAGTGTTCGACTTCGGCTCAGGTCATGATCTCAAGGTCCATGAGTTCGAGCCCAGCGTTGGGTTCTATGCTGACAGCTAGTTCAGAGCCTGGAGACTGCTTAGGATCCTGTGTCTCCCTCTCTGTCTGCCCCTCCCCTACTCATACTGTTTCTCTCTGTCTCAATAATAAACAAACATGAAAAAAAAAAAATGAGGAGGAGTAGTATGTAAGAAGTGACCTGAACTGAGCTCTAAAAGATGGGAGTGTGTCCAGAGCTGAGGATGAGTGTGGGGATGGGCTAATGCCGAACAGCAGCACAGTGCAAGGAGCCTGTGGGAACAGCCAGAGGTTTCATTTCCATGCACGATCTATACGGCTGAGTGAAGTCCCACTCCCCCAGCCAAGCCCGGGAATCTGTGCCCAAGACTTGGGGAAGCTAAGGGGCAGCTTCTGCAAACTCCTGAGCAGGACACGGGAAACGCTCCACGTTGTATAAAAGTAACGTTGAGGGCCAGGAGGCCTGAGTTTGGGAAACTTCTGGGGCTCTCACAAGTGTGACCTTGGACAAATACTCGTTCTCTGGCCCTCAGTGAAGACGGGGATGAAGGAGGGCGGTTTGGCAAGCATCAAGGACCAACATAAGTACCTTCGCCTACTGTGTCTTCATTCTCGAAACAAACTGCTAAGTACTACTGCCGCCTCCGCTTTAAAAGGAGTAATGAAAGCATGGAGAGGCTGTCTCTGCAGGAGGAAGCAGGGGTTCTAGATGGGTCTGGGCTAGAGGTCTTCGAAGACCACTTGCTCTAGGGTGCACCGCGATCCCGGCAGGGGCCGAGCAGGAGCCCGGGGAAGGTGACCTGTAAGGAGACAGGACGCCCGAAACGGCAGAGGGCGGGGAGAAGTCAGGTCTTGCAGAGAGAAACTTATTGCTCTGCTCCGGGTTACCACGGAAAGTTCGCTAGGCCTTTCGGGGCCACTACCTCGCTGAGTGACCTCGGGGAAGTCACGTCCCTCCTCTGGGGCCCGGATTCCTGCTGGAGGTCTTTGCGGCCTCCTTGCACCCGGCCTCCAGGCCGCGGCGCCCTAAGCGCCCCCTCCACCGGGGGAACCCCGGGCGCGGCCGCGAAAGCGTCTTCCCGCGGAGCCTGCCCAGAGGTCACGCGGCCCGCGGGTCGCTGGCCCTCTTACCCGGGCGTGCACGGTCCCCATGGCTCCAGGTCAGGCCGCCGCCTCGCAGAGCTATCCGAGCCCGACGCGGCTGGGCTGGTGAGGGCAGAGGGCGGGCCCAGGGCGGCGGAGCTGTCAGTCAGCACAACGCCTACAAGCCCTCGGACGGCAGGCGCTGGGGGCAGCCATCATGCCCCGCCCCCTGGCTCTCGGTCCGTCCGCTCATTGGTCCTTGAGAGCCCATGACCCGGATGTTCACCCGGACGCCAGGAAGTCCCGGGGCCAGGAGACTGCGCAAGCGCGGAGCCTCGGATGACTCCCCACGTAACTGCTGGCCCCAGGGGCGCGGGTTCGAGAGAGGATTCCCGACAGGGGGCGTCCCGAGTCGCCCCCGGGAGAGAGCAAACCCGCTGGTGGATGCGCCAAGGCTCACTCAGGGCCCTCCCTTAGCCTACTGGCCCCCCGGCCCGTGGATGCTGGACGGACCCCACGCTCCCGCGAATCGTCAAGGCTCACCGACCCCCGGCCTCGGAGATAGTACAGATCCGGGTCGGCGCCTGCTCCCCTGCGGGCGGCCGCCGGGTCTTAACGGTCGCGGAAGCCCCCGAGGGCTGTCTCCTCCTTGGTAAAGGGAAGGAGAGGGTCATACCACGTCTCAGGATAGGAATCAGAGCGTGACAGCGCCCGGCCCCGGGTGGGCCGTGGGGTAGGGTAACCACCGTCCATTCCGCCGAGCCCGTAGTAAGTGCTGGCGGGACACCCCCCGGGCATGGGCGAGGGGCTGAGAACCCGGCGGCCACGAGGTGCTCCCTCCCTGCGCTAAAACCACGTCTAAATAGTAGACACGCATTGTGATGAAAGTGAGAAACAGCTGAGTGATAGGCTGGGCGAAGAAGGACCTTATTATGTTTCCTCTCCCTTCTGATAACAGCGTCATTTCAACTCCTTTATTTTCCCCTCCGCCCCCTCCCAGAGTTCCTGACACCCTCTCCCATTTCAGTAGCACCCCACGTCCCAAGCAGCCCTGGAGTCCACATTCCCCTTCTTGCCTGGAAAGAAACCCAAGCCAGCCCCGCCAGGGCCAAGTCTTCCCTCCCTGCACCGCTACCGCTACCGGGTTGACCTCCCCGTCTGCCCTCCTCCCTCCCCGGGTTCCTGGGGTTCAGGACACCTATCCCTGACCACCAAAGCCAGTCTATTGGTGCCTCCCGACCTCCAGCTCAGACTCAAGAGGCTATTTTGGGTGAGTAAACTTTGACATTTTCTTTTTTTTTTTTTTTAATGTATTTATTTCTAGGAGACAGAGAGAGAGAGAGCGTGAGCAGGGGAGGGTCAGAGAGAGAGGGAGTCACAGACTGAAACAGGCTCCAGGCTCTGAGCTGGCAGTCAGCACAGAGCCCGACGCGAGGCTCGAACCCACGAACCATGAGATCATGACCTAAGCGAAAGTCGGACGCTTAACCAACTAAGCCACCCAGGCGCCCCAAACTTTGACATTTTCAAAGACAATCTGGGAGCAGAGTTTAAGCAGAAGTGACACAAGCTGGACACTTGCTCAGAATTCATTCTGCCCGATCCTGTGTCCTCATCTGTCAAAGGGGGATGGTAGCAGTTCCTAAGGCATGAGGGTATACCGAGGATTTGATGATCTAAAGCATGGGGCCGGGCTCACGGCAGACACTGAATAAACTAGAATTTCCTGCATTTTCTCCTTCATCATTGTTTTAAGCTTCTTCTCAAAGGTAACCCATGAGGTTGACCTCCAGATAGCAGTGAGTCCCGAGCCAAATATTTGAGAGCCTATTGGGTACAAGGCACTGGTGATAGAAGACACATCAGGAACACAGTCACAGCTTTATCCTCAAACAGCACATCTGAAAGTCAGAAGGCACGTTAATGTGTTGAAGGCTCTGAGAAGTCCTGCAGTACCTATATCTCCGTTATGGAAGCCAGTATTTCCTGAACCGATTGGGTCATAGGGACTTTGGGTTTTGGTTTCTGAGGCTCCCTGGCCCTCAGGCCGTGTTCATCAGTAATGCTGGTGCTCCTCTTTGGGCAAAAGGTAGAGTAGCATTTCCCTTCCCCTATCCGTGTGCTTGCTTTGGTCAACGGGTTGTAGGCCGAAGGGATAGCTATCACTTCTGGATGAGAACTTCTGAGCACCATATTCCTTTCCCACTGTCGCTGCGATCCGTGACCCTCCAGACGGGGGAGATGGTTTCAGGCTAGGCCCGCAACCTCTGATGAGAAATCAACCTTCTGGGGGAACCTTTGTTAAAGGCAGCATAACCCAGACTAATATAACTGATCAAATCCCTTAGCAGTAGCCACAAGGACACCAGCTTTCAAGAAACTTTGCTTCATGAAGTGTGGATCTGGCCCCGTGAGTTGTAGAAACGCTCCCTTAATAAAATGACGACACTGGCTCCCTTTTAAAATGAAACCACAAGTCTCAGAGGTCATGAGGAAGGGACACTAGGTCTTCCCACGGATGCCCATAGAGGTCACTCACGTCTTAGTTTGGGACAGGACTGTTAGGATCGGGGCGCTGGCTGGAGGGGAGCAGGACCGACCTGGTTCTGTGCTCCCCTCGAGGCGGCACTGGGGGGGTGGGGGTGGGAGGGGCTGGCGAGCCTCAGCGCTTTGCGGGAGAGTGAGGCCCGTACAGCACCCTCCAGGCCGGGGCGCCCCAGTGTGTGGGCCCGGGACAAGAGGCGGGGTTCCAGGGGCCTGCAGTGGAGGTGACACAGCAAGGCTGGGACGAGCTGTAGGGGGCTGGGGAGGAGGGGCTCCTGGATCTCTGGGGCCCGGCTCAGGTGGCTTGGAATCTGACAGGTACGGGGCAGCTCTGCACTGGAGGGTAATACTGGGAGCAGCCGAGGAATGACCAGTGGAGGTGGCCGGGGGACTCAGGGACTTGGGGTCCTCAAGGTGAGGTCCCCAGAAACAGCTGTGAACTCTCAGTACGGCAGGCACAGCTGAGCCTGGGGGATGAGCCCAGCACTCAGGACAGTGGGGTCCCAGAAGAAGGAGAGGGACTGCCGCGGGGGAGGGTCCAGTGTCTAGGACGGAGTCCATGTGGGGACACCTGGCCGGGGGGGCCGTAACCCTGGGGGGGTGCATTTGAAGGGGCTCAAGGGGACAAAAGAAAAGCAGGGCTTCTGGAAAGGGCATAGAGACGAGGGAACACGTTTTCAACGTCACGTTTATTAGGAGTTGTTTTCTAATGAAAGTAATACATATTTGCCATAGAAATTTCAAAACAGCCACGACTAATAAAGTATAATTACAGAAAACGGCATAATGACCACCACTGTCAGGACTTCTGGTGAATAGTTCTCAGTCTTTTCTCCAGAGACACACATAACACACCTTTTTCTTTTAAAAAAAAAAAAAAACCAAGGTTACGCTCATGCTCTTGCACTAAGCTTCATGACCTGTTCACCAGATAAAGACTGCTGCTCCCTGGCATTTGGCAGACCACACAGTGATGATACCTGACAGTGGGAAATTTCAGAGCATAAAGGCACCATATTGGGGGTGTGGGGTAGTGTTTGCTAAGGTAGAGGAACTTCAGAGCTTTTCTGTGCTGATGAAAACCGTCAGGCGTGCTGGGGAGGTGAGGGCCCGTAGGGGAGTGGGCGTGGGGAGGCATCTAAGGCCCAGGTGGCGAGTGGAGCCTTGGCCCTTCCTGTAAAAATCTTATCCTTTTTCGTCTTAGCACAGGTTTTCTAAAACTTACAAGCATGAGCTCATTTGAAGGAGGTTGAGCCATTTCAAAAAGTAGTAAGAAAATAAGTTGCATGTAATCCTATCAGCTGTTAGCGGATATCGTGTGACAACCAGGGCACAAAACCAGACACACAGACCAATGGAATAGAACTGAGAACTCAGAACTGGACCCACAAATGTACAGTCAACTCATCTTTGACAAAGCGGGAGAGCACCCAATGGACAAAAGAGAGCCTCTTTAACAGGTGGTGCTGGGAGAACTGGACAGCAATGGGGAGAAGAATGAAACGGGATCACTGTCCTGCACAATACACAAAAATAAACTCATAGTGGATAAAGGGCCTGAATGTGAGACAGCAAACCTTCAATACCCGAGAGGAGAAAGCAGGAAACAACCTCCTTGACCTCCACTGCAGCAATTTCATACCTGACACACCCCCAAAGGCAGGGGAATCAAGAGCAAAAATGAACTACTGGGACCTCATCAAGATAAAAGCCTTCTGCACGGCAAAGGAGACAATCCATGAAACGAATAGGCAGCTGACGGAATGGGAAAAGATAGTTGCAAATAACAGATCAGATAAAAGGCTAGTATCCAAAATCTATAAGAAACTTACCAAACTCCACACCCGAAAAATAAACAACCCAGTGAAGAAATGGGCAGAATATGTGAACAGACACTTCTCCAAGGAGGACATCCAGATGGCCAACAGACACATGAAATGATGCTCAGCGTCCCTCCTCATCAGGGAAATACAAATCAAAGCCACACGGAGATACCACCTCCCGCCACTCAGAGTGGCTAAAATGAGCAAATCAGAGGACTCTAGATGCTGGCGAGGATGTGGAGAAACGGGCACCCACCTACACTGTTGGTGGGAATGGAAACTGGTGCAGGCCCTCTGGAAAACAGTGGGGAGGTTCCTCAAAAAATGAACACTAGAACTCCCCTACCCAGCAATAGCAGTGCTGGGGATTTACCCAAGGGACACAGGAGTGCTGATGCCTAGGGGCACATGTACCCCAATGTTCATAGCCGCATTTTCAACAATAGCCAAAATATGGAAAGAGCCTAAGTGTCCATCAACGGACAAATGGATAAAGAAGATGTGGGTCGTCTCTACGATGGAATACTACATGGTGATGAGAAAGAATGAAATCTGGCCTGTGTAGCAACATGGATGGAACTTGAGGGTGTTATGCTGAGCGAAACAAGTCAGGCAGAGAAGGACAGCTACCGTATGTTTGCATATATAGGTGCATTCGGAGGATCTTAACAGAGGACCATGGGGGAGGAGAAGGGGGAAAATATTTGGAAAGGGCGGGAGGCAAACCATGAGAGACCCTTGAATGTCGAGAACAAACTAATGGTTGATGGGGGTGTGGGGGAGGGGAAGAGGGTGATGGGCATGGGGGAGGGCACTTGTGGGGATGAGTACTGGGTGTTAAATGGAGACCAATTTGACAATAAACTAAGTGGAAAAAAAGAATGACAGTTAGATCTGGACTGTAGAAAAATAGGGCAGTTCTTGTAAAATAGGGCGAAAGGGTACTGGTGTCTGCTCATGGGCTATGCTGCGGTGATCAGCACACTTGAGAATCAGGGCTCAGAACAAGGTGTGAGCGAATGCTCCAAACCGCCCAGGCGGGTGTCGGACGTGGCCTCTCCAACCCCCAGGCCAGCTCAGCAAGGGGGACGGTGCCTCGTTCTGGGGCTCAAGAGGCTGGGAGAGCCTCCCAGCCCTGGCCTCACTGAGGGGGCAAGCGCCATCAGAACAGAAGCCTGGGTGCCCACGTCCCGGAGACTCAAGGACTCAGTGACGAGCCGAAGGGGGGGTCCCACGTCGGGCAGTGGCCCCGTATGTACACACGGGCCGGCCTCTGGGACTCCCGATCTCATCACAGCGGAAGGAAACGGCCTCGCGTAGGGGCTAGGCCCAGAAGCACGCTCTCTGTTCAAGGGGACGTGTTTGCAGGGAAGTGCTCGGTCTGAACTTGCCGGTTCTTCGACGCCACATAACACAGCGCAGGTGGCGGCTGCGGCGTCCTGAGCCAGCGCGGAGGATTCTGAGCTTATCAGTGTCCTTTTTGTTCCACTCAAACGCATAATGAAGACCGCGCGGTTCACCTTGAGTCATACGGCTCTGGGCTTGCCAACACTCACACCTGGGGAGAAGGTACGGCCCTGTCTCTCGGTCTCCGCTAAGGCTCTGGGGGTACAGAGCGGACAGGGGCCATTGAGAAAAGAGGAGCACAGACCACAAGCCCCTCCGTTGTGCTGGACTCCTGCCCGGGGGCCTGGGACGCCCGTCTCTGCCCTGGATTCTCCCTGAGGCTTCTTAACACCTCGCTGAGTCACATAACCTCTAATGCAACAGATAATAAGGTTCCTTTCTATTTTATACAAAACTCTATCCCATATTGAGGCTCGGGCAAAAAAAGCGTTCCAAAATGTCAGTTACCGCCTTTTAATGGCCATGACCTGCAGCGCCCTCCTTGGACAAGGCGGCCCCTGTGCCTGCCACAGTGCCCAGTCCTGGATGGGGAGACAGGATCCCGTTTCTCTTCCTTGCAGCCCCCAAGATGGCACAAAGATGGCAGCCCAGCCCCCAGCCACGAGTCTCCCACCACCTGTCACGGCACCGGCTCCTCGAGGAACCCTGACCTGGGAAGGCTACAAGCCGGAGCTGACAATGGTCCCTCCACACCAGGCTTCCTCCTGCCATTTCCCAGCCGGCCGAGCTAACAGACCCAGGAACGTACATACTAGACTCCGTTAAGCCCCAGGCCACCGCACACACACCTGAAAGCAGCCTGGCCTAGCTTTTCTTAAAAAGAGTACGTTGCCTTTGGTTTCAATCATCTAGAAATTCAGCACAGAGGCAAGACTCCGTGTGTCCCGGATGCCGAAGCATTACGCGTCAGCGCAGAAGGAGCTGTGCAAAGATCAGAAAGGCCCAGCACCTACGAAAGAACGTCCTAAATGTGTCCCCTCACGTGACTAAGAAACTCATCTGCACTAGGAGAGCAGGGACGGAGGACTCTCGCCCAACCCCGGCCCCAAAAGGCCAGGCCGGCCAGGAGGATGGCTTGGCTGGGCGAGCTCGGCCCGGCCCCTGCGGGCCAGTCCCCAGGTGTGCAGGGCCCCACTACGGAGCCAGGAGGCGAGAGACGCCCTCGTGTCCCCCAGGGCAGGTTGCTGGCTGCTTGTCGGTATCTGGGGTCTGAAACAAATGAGGGATACAAACTCAGGTCTTCTGTCTCGGCACTGACGGATGGACACCAGCAGCCAAGTCTGAGTGCACCGCCATGCACGCTCGGGGCCCCTCAGGGCGGCGGTATCCAAAGCCACATGTCCACCACCCCTCCGTCCTGGGGTGATGTCATCATCCCGGGATTCTAAGCCTGTGGCCCTCCCAGCTGGGACACTTCCCACCCGACACCCATGGGTATATGAGAGCCATTCAGATTCCTCACACAGACCAGCTGACCCACCAGCCTCAGCTGCAGGCCACCCGCCAGGCCTCTTCCTTCTCACTGGCAGGTTGGAGGTCAGATGAGAATCTACATAAATAGGCACCCCCCCCAACTTCCAGATGAAAGGGATCCCTGCCAGACCCACACACCCACAACCAAATCATGTACCTGAACGTGGGGAAGAGATGTGTCATCACCCGAGAACACAGGTGCCAGGTGGCCCACTGCAGCCACTGGATGTCCTCAGGAATATCGGGAATCCAGGTCACCAGTCTGCAGGGATAAAACCAAGACACACACAAACAGGTATCAGCATGAAAATGAGCCACAAACACAAAGCAAAAACTGAAGACGGGTGTCTCACCATGCCATCTGTCCACGTAAATCACCAGAGTCACCCCCTAAATCTAATCTGATCAATCCTAGAAGGTGGATTAGGGGCGTTCAGCCAAAGACAAACCTACCTAAAAGCCCTAAGGCAAAGTTAGGTCACTCTAGGCTCCAGAAAGCTCAAGGGGTACACATGGAAATAAAAGAAGGGCCTGGTCTGCCAGGCTTGTCCCTTGGGGGAAGGTGTCAGCTGCAGCTGATGCCAAGAATCTGGTAGTCAAGGTAGCTCAGGGTTTATTCAAGCCCAGCGGACTCCCCCCACCCCCCACCTGCCCCCGACGCCCCGGATACAAAAAGCACCCGTTTGACGGGCCTTGTAAACGCCTGACCAGACCTCACCCCAGGACAGAGGTGTTGGGGGAGCAGATGGCTAACTCACTAGAGCAGAAAGGGGATCTGGGCAGGCTCAAGGACAAGGGAACCAAGCAGGACTCTGAAGGATGCCTTGGCCTCTAAAGGTGGACAGAAGGCCATGCCGACCAACTCCCTAAAACGGCCATGAACTCTGACAGAGGTCTGAAGAAAGCAGACGTAAAACAAATACCCAGGATTCAAGCGTCTGCCTCGTGTCCTCCCGACATACCGTGAATGCAATCCCAAAATGAAAACCATGGACCTACAGGAAGGAGCAATCCAGAACAGCATCGAGAAAAGAGGGGGGCCGAGAGGGGTCACCGTGCGGCACCTTCCGGGGGCTCCTTACAGACAGGAAGGCCATCCCGCTCTCCGAGGAGCCAGGCCACGGCTGAAGACCTTACGTGGATCTCTCAATCTCCACCCAAGCCGGGAGGAAGGCACAAAGCCGCGTAAAAGACTCACCTGTGGACAAGCACGATGGCAGACTCCACGGGCAACGTGCAAGGCAGCATCGCGTAGGACAAGACCTTAACTGGCAAGAAGTTGCAGATCTTGCTCATGTATCCCTGTTGGCTTTTAATTGCTTCGCTCAGAACTGAAAAATACAATTTGGAGGTGTATCTCCCTCCAGTGTGGAAACCAACGCACCGCGAGCAGGAAGTGCTTGGAATTTCCGTGAAATACACAAACCCTGGCGTACAAAGAATCAGAAGCATCCACAAACGAGACCCGGAGAGGACGAAGCCCAGAGCAGCCCTTGAAGAGCCCACAGGATAAAGGGTTCTCAATGAACAACTCTCTGTTAAATGGTAACTATTTAGGGGCGCCCGGGTGAAGCATCCATCTTCGGCTCAGGTCATGGTCTCATGGTTCGTGGGTGGGAGCCCCGCATCCGGCTCAGCGCTGACTGCTCGGAGCCTGCAGCCTGCTTCGGATCCTGCATCTCCCCCTCTCTCTGCCCCTCCCCTGCTCACACACACACACTATCTCTCTCTCTCTCTCTCTAAAATAAATAAGCCTAGGGGTGCCTGGGTGGCTCAGTCGGGTAAGCGTCCGACTTTCGCTTAGGTCATGATCTCGCGGTTCGTGGGTTCGAGCCCTGCATTGGGCTCTGTGCTGACTGCCAGCTCAGAGCCTGGAGCCTGTTTCAGAGTCTGTGTCTCCCTCTCTCTCTGACCCTCCCCTGTTCATGCTGTCTATCTCTCTCTCTCCTAGAAATAAATAAAAATTAAAAAAAAAATAAAATAAAAAAAAATAAGCCTTAAAACATTTTTTTTTAATGATAGCTAGTTTTGGCAGGATACACAAACTTCTCAAATAGCCCATTGACTTTATAAGGTTTTCCTACAGCTGCACTCTGCTTTCTTCGGCCTGGAACCGTCCGGCCTGCTAGCTCTCTTTTTCTTTTCTTTTTTTTTTGAAGTCTATTTATTTTTTTCAGAGAGACAGAGACAGCGTGGGGTGGGAGTTGGGGGAGGGGGACAGAGAGGAAGAGAGACAGAATCCCAAGCAGGCTCCCTGCTGCCAGCGCAGATCCCAGAACTCGCAAAACCACGAGATCATAACCTGAGCTGAAACCAAGAGGTGGACACTTAACCTACTGAGCCCCCTGCCGTTTCCACTTTGTAATGACCGCATGACACCTCAGGTCACATTGACCCAGGCAGCTGCTGGCCAGCGCTGTTAGTGCAGTAGAGGTGTTCGTGCCTTGGAGCAAGGGCTGATGTCCTGTCCGTCTTTGAATTTCTCCAAGTGCCTGATGGGAAGTTGGCCTGGGCACTCCCGTCCACCTAATAGTTGATGATGTGATAACATCCATCACCACTCAGTGGAGATTCAAAATTGCAGGGAGGCAGGGGAAAACCTGGGAGTGGGGGGGGGGGGGGGAGGCTGGGCTCAGAAAGATGGGGCTTTGAGATGGATGGGCAGGCAGAGAGCAGTTCTGAAAGAACAGACCCACCCCTGTGGCTCCGGAAATCCAGCGTGCCCGTTCACTCAAAACAGCTGGGGTCCGCTCTCCTCCAGCCAGGACCCCACGGGAAGGGAGACTGAGCACGGTGCCCGGGGAGGGGAACGGAGGAGCTGCCCCAAGAGTGGAGGGCCCCACACCCCGCCTGCTCCTTCTCCTGCTTGGCAGGATTACCTTCCACCACGACACACAGAACAGCAGCCCCTTGGGTCTCTGTTACGGGGAACAACACCCTCGATCCCTGTCCGTCCCCCGAGGAGCAGGCACCTGCAGTAAGCTTCGGCGACAGGGTTGCCAGGACGCTCTCGTCCCAGGTCAGGAGGCTGAGACGCAGGTGGTCCAGCAGCTCGTCTTGCTCTGTCTTCATCCCCGGCGCAGCCACGCTCGGCGGGGAGTCCAGGCTCACGGGTTCCGAGGTGGGCGTGAGGACCTCCGACTCCTCTGGAGATAAATTCAGGCACGGCCGAGACACGTTGTAGATCCCTGCCACGGATGCAGGAAACCAGTCAAGGGTGAACTTGGGCGGCAGGGGTCACTACTCACACACCCACCCACAGAGGGACAGGGTGGCAAGCAAAGGGGGCTTCTCTCGTTACCAGCTTGGTACGAGGCGGGGGCTTATTTTTAAAAATGTTGGGGCTCCTGGGTGGCTCAGTCGGTTAAGCGTCCAACTTCAGCTCAGGTCATGGCCTCATGGTTTGTGGGCTTGAGCCCCGTGTTGGGCTCTGTGCTGACAGCCAACTCAGAGCCTGGAGCCTGTTTTGGATTCTGTATCTCCCTCTCTCTGTGACCCTTCCCTGCTCACACTGTCTCTCTCTCTCTCTCTCACTCAGAAACAACTAAAACATTAAAAAATTTTTTTAACATTTATTTACTTTTGAGAGACAGAAGGAGACAGAGAATGAGGAAGGGAGAGGCAGAGAGGAAAGGAGACACAGAATCCGAAGCAGGTTCCAGGCTCAGCTGTCGGCACAGAGCCCGTACGGGGCTCAAACTCAGGAACTGTGAGATCATTGCCAGAGCCGAAGTCGGAGGCTTACCCAACTAAGCTCCCCAGGTGCCCCGACGTTGAGGCTCTGAAGCCAAGAGGTGTGCGTTTGGCTCTGCTTCAGTTGCTCAGTTGCTGTCTGCACCCCCAGCCACAGGTGGAGGCATGAAGGTGAAGCAGGAATTCTAATTAAGGGGTAAAAACTAAACCACCGGTTAAGCCTGTGTTCCAGGTTCTGAATTAGGAACTTCGTGTTCTGTTCCCAGGGGACAACCCCGACCCGGGCCAGCCTGGCCGGGAGCCTCGCTCAGATCTTTGGACTCAAACCCAACACAGAGGCTGCAAACGCTAGTCTTTGGAATGACCAAGAATATCCAACCTGGGGACCACATATCCAAACTCCTTTTGCTACAGATGTGGAGACAGAGGCCCAGGGAGGGAGGTGGCCTGTCGAAAGTCACCGAGTCAGGAGAGTCACTGAGCTACCCAAGCCCAACCCAAAGGGGTCGGCTGCTGTCACCGAATCCCAGGTTCCCTCGAATTTCCATTCCCAGCCCAGACGGCCCTCCAGGACTTTGGGCCCTGGCATCAGCCGTCTCCTGTGCAGGTGCCCAAAAATGCGCCTGGGGCGCTGCACACCCACCTGTACACCCACCCGGCCCGCATCGAGCACACCACCCTTCTTTCCAGGGGACGCATTCCCTCTGCCCCCCAAGAGTCCTGAACTGGAGAGAAGGGCACCCCCTGCCTAGGCTGCCGAAGTCTGAGCCCAGGATTTATTCCTGATCGTTCCCCTTCCCGACTCTACTTGGTCATCTTTGAGTCCTGTCCCCTGTGGGCCCGCGCACCACCCTCACTGCCCTGGTCCTGGCCGGTCCCCCCGAGACGGGCACTCCTCCCTCCCCGCCCTCCCCTCCTCCGCCCCCCTTGCACCCAAAACCCTCTGCTGACCTCCCTCGCTCCTACATCTGGGACCCTTGGTGGCTCCCTACTGCCTCCGGAGTCACCCAGGTCCAGCCCTCCCCTCCCTGCTCTCTGCCCACCCCTCCGTGTCCCCCACGCCCTGAAACTCCGGCCACATGCGCCTTCTTCCCATCCTCCACCCAGCCACGCTCTCCTGCTCATGTCCCCCGTGCCTCAGGCTCCCGTGTGTCCCGATCTTGCAACAGCTGGCGTCTCCCTGAAGCCGCGCCTCCCCCCATGCCATGCAGACCCTCCTGTGAGATCTACAGTGTCCTGTCTCTTCCAACCAGGCACTTGGCACACATCAGCCTCCATTCACTTATGTGCCCCCCTGACCACCAGGCTAAGGTCCGGGAGGGCAGAGGCCACATCTTCCTATTCACTGCGGCATCCCTGGCACGTAGCCAATAGCTCGGCACCTGCAAACTCTGAGGACAGAGATACACGTATGTCCTCTTCACCGTGACTTCTCCTTGGACTTGGCCAGAGACTAATTCCATGAACCCATACAGGAGCCATTCTTATTCTTATTATCTTTATTAAAGAGAGTACGAGCGGGGAATGGGCAGAGAGAGAGGGAGACAGAGGACCTGAGGATCCGAAGCAGGCTCCTCACTGACAGCAGTGAGCCCGACGCGGGGCTCAGACTCCCCAACTGTGAAATCGTGGCCTGAGTCAAAGTCGGACGCTCTACTGACTGAGCCATCCAGACAGCCACGCCTGGATAGTTGGGGCTCAGGACCAGAAGCCCTGCTTGACTTCCTCTGTTTCTCTAAGCACTCAAAATAGTTCAGGCAGAAAAGGAAAACGGACAGAACGGCCTTCACTGTTCAGACAGGTGGCACTAAGGAAGGAGAAGGCCCCGGAACCGCGCCCCTCGGGTCCCAGCCCCAGCCTGCCGCTCCGTGAGCATGGCGGGGTCCCCGGCTCACTCCGTCTCCCCGTTTGTACAATGGAACAACGATGTCCTCTCCCACAGGGGCAACGAGCGGGCTGGGCGAGATGCTGAGGGCAGACCCCCGGCCCGAGTGTCCACCTAACCTCAGCCTCCAGCTGCTGCGTGCTGACAGAAAGCTTGTTCAAAGGCTATGTCTGCCCCCACCTCGCCCATACGTACCATTCTCTTCCAAGAACCTGATGGTGTCTAAATACCCCTGAAGGCATATCTCTCCGAGCACCTGGCAACACATCAAATGAGGTCGCTGCAGTGGGGGAGCCGTTCCGAAGGCTCCAGAGACAAACAGAAGACCCGTCCCTGCTCCAACCTGCTCCGATGGCCCCCGGCCCAGCCTGGGAGTCGCTGGACAAAGGGCTCTGTGCTCCGAGGAGACTCGAGCTCCGCTCTCACGCAGGGCTGGTTGCTCTGGGACCCCTCCTTCCCTGGACTAGCCTTCCCGCCCCCTAACAAATACTGGGGCCCGTTCTAGCTCACACTGGGACGATTAACAGCAGCCTTCTCCACTCTCCATCTCTCCTGGAGCACACGCAGCCTACACACAGCCCTCCTTCTCCCCGGAGAGCCATTAGTACCTACGGTTTACACTTTTTTTTTTTTTAATATTAGGGAGAGGAGGCCTCCTTCAACAATGGAGAGAGATTAAACCGCCAAATGCAGTGTGGTTCTTGACCACACTTGCAAAGAAGAATCATCAGGGTAACTACCAATCCCACCACCCAGGATGCACCCCAGCTACTTAAATCAGAGCCCCCTGGATGTGGGACCTGAGCTACAGGCCTGGTTAAATCTTCCCAGGTGATTCCAAAGGTCAGAGCGGGGGCAGCACTGAGTTCCTGGGGCAGGAAAACACCCCCACACCCCAGTTCTATTCAGTGAATGTGGGGGGATCTGATTCTGTGTGTGGAAGGAGACATTGGTAGGTATCTTGGCAAACAGAAGCAAAGAACTGCACCCCCAAAACACACAGCCCCCAACTCACCTTGAGATCCGGAGGACATAACGCTCGAATCAGAAGGTAGACATTCTCTGAGCAGATACGCAAGCTGAGCTTGGTAAAGTCCATATGAAGAAAGTTCGTGGACTTGACCTTAGGGCAGATATCACACTCCCCATACAAGGGGGACACGGTGATGGTCGTTTTGGCATCAAAGCAGGGGACGTTGTCACTCAATCCTCCATCTATATATCGCTTTTAAGGGGAGGACAATAGGACATACTGTCAGAAACTCTGGGCTGGCGTTTTATGTGTTTTTCAGATTATGAGCAGAGGTCTCTCAGAGCTGCAGGCTGGTATGGCGAGAAGATGGGTTCTGGAAACTTTCTTTCAACAAATCGTCAGTGAGCATTTCTATGCCAGGCCAGGCTCTAGGCTGGCACTCAAGATTGCTATATACTGTTGTGTAGCCTGTGCACTGCACAAAAAGTGTCTGGCAACGAGGCAGACAGAGGCTGGAGCCCAGCCCACATTGTGCTGGCCAAGTCTGACGCCCAGGAGGCCACCTCTAGGTGTGCCTGGGTACTTTGCAGGGACTCTGTGTGCACCTGGGACAGAGTATGATGTAGACCCTGCCATGAAAGTGACAGAAGGCCATGGGTTAGATTCCAGACCCCTCTTGCTGCTTGGAAAATCAGAACCAGCACCTTGAGGAGCTTTGGAGACTAAAATGGCCATGACCTTGGCATCAAGGCAGCCAGAAAACATCTTCTGCACCCACAACATTAGGCTGTCCCAAGCAGGTTTAGGTACTATTTGGGCAAAGTCTACATTCACCAAAGGGATGTGTAGAATGATTCCCAAATCAAAGGCCATCACGGCTCAGCTGTCTGTCCCCACAGAGGAAGGTCTTTGAATATCACAGCTGGAAGACCCTCCCCAGCCAATCCTTCCTGAGGCCTCAACAAGCACAGAGAACTATCCACACTCAGCCACACCATAGCCATCGAAGACACTCGCCGTAGAGGTGCCTGGGGGGTTCAGCTGGTTAAGTGTTCAACTTCGGCTAAGTTTGTGATCTCCTCTTTTTTGGGTTTGAGCCCTACATCGGGCTCTGTGCTGATAGCTCGGAAACTGGAGCCTGTTTCGGATTCTGTGACTCCCTCCCTCTCTATCCCTCCCCTGCTTGCACTCTGTTCTCTCTCAAAAATAAATAAATGTTAACAAATTAATATACATACATATATATAATGCGGCCCTAGGAAGAAGCTGCCAGGGGCCCAGCAAAGCCCAGAATCTAGTCCGGAGCCTGCAGAGCAGATGCCTCATTGCCTGTGTCTGTCCACCCCAAGCAGGGCCTGGAAATGGGCTAAACCACATATTTGTGGAATGGAACTGAATCAAAGCAGCTTCTGCCCAAAGCTATGGGCCACAAAGGGCAGCATCGGAGTCACAGCGGGCTGTACCCCTCAAGGCCTGGGAATAAAGTGCCACCTTACGCAAGTAACAGACCCTAAAGCATCTTCTACTTTAACCAGGCCACCGGGGACCTATCCTTGGTGCTCCGGTGAAGATTAAGTGAATCAGTTTTCCTTCCAGGTAGCCAGATAATTAATTCTACATGAAGGTGGTTTTGCTGTCCAGGCAGCGCAGACGGGGGCCAGCTATAGCTATCTAGGGAACCTCAGTCTGGAAGGCCAGGAGGGCAAAGGGCTCTGCATTTGGGATGGGTCCTCGGGTGCCTGAGGCAACTTCCCTGCGGGCAGAGGCTGCTGTGCAGTGAGTTTAAAAGCAGACTCGGGGTGCCTAGGTGGCTCAGTGTTTTGGGCTCAGTGTTTGGGAGTCTGACCTCAGCTCAGGTCAAGATCTCCCGGCTTGTGGGTTCCAGCCCCGTGTCGGGCTCTGTGCTGACAGCTCACAGCCTGGAGCTTGTTTCAGGTTCTCTATCTCTCCCCCTCTCCTGCTCACACTCTGTCTCTCTCTCCATCTCAAAAGTAAATAAACATTTTTTTTAATTAAAAAAAAAAAAAGTCGACTCACCACACCCCTGAAGGAAGGAGGGATTAGGCCACAGTAGAAAGGGATGAAGCAGGAACAAACCAAAGCCTGTGGAGACAGAAAGAAGTGAAACTACAGGCCGAACAGCCTGCCTTCGATTCCCCCGGGCCAGCCTGAGCCAGCCCGAGCCTTCTTCAAATGAACCGAGCAGGGAGCCTATCTTGACTCTTTGGAGATGGGGTGCTCTTTGAACTAGCTGGACGGGGAACAAACGAACCCACACACTTCTATTTTAGGACTAAGGATAAGTTCCTAAAACACAGTCTGTCGGTGTCAACTTCCTGTCCCTCTCCCCACGGGAGGAGCCATACGGGGCCCATGAAGAAGACGGGACCCAGAGCCGCTACTGATAGGGGAAGACACCAGCCCAGGGCTTTGCAAATGCTGATCTTCCTCAGAATCACCTGGAAAGCTTGCTGCCCACAACCCCAGGGCCCACCCCAGGATTCTGCCGCAGCAGCCTGGAGGGGTCCGAGAACCTCCATCCCAATAGCCTTCTAGGTGGTGCTGAGGCTGAGGTCCAACCAGCACACTGAGCATCGCTGAGCTGAGGTGGGGGCAGGGCAGGAAGCAGGGCTGACCCAGGGAGAGAACCCGGCTCCGGCGAGCACAGGCCAGTGCTGGCTGTCTACAAAGGGCTTCTGGAAGCAAGGTTAAATAGAGGTTGATCCTGGCTGCTGAAACGCTACTGGTTATATGTGCCCGGCTGCTGGCTCGTACGGACCGAGTTAAGAGAAATGTAGTCCAAGTAACTCTCGTGAAAGGCATCATCCAAATTAAATAGGATTTTGAGAGGCACTTGGGTGGCTCAGTCAGTTAAGTGTCTGACTTCAAGTCAGGTCATGAGCTCACGGTCTGAGTTTGAGCCCCACGTCAGGCTCTGTGCTGACAGCTCAGAGCCTGGGGCCTGCTTCGGATTCTGTGTCACCCTCACTCTCTGTTCCTCTCATACTCACACTCGATCTCTCTCTCCCTCTCAAAAATAAACTTTTATAGGAAAAAATTTTGATATTGTAAGTGATCTTCTCTGAGCAGGACACTCAGGCCAGAGGCTAGTAGATCTGTTCCCACCCTTGTGGGATTCCACCCCAGATGTTCTGAGTCCGGAACACGCATCGTGGGGACAGGGATCCTTGGAAGAGGTGGTCAGGAGCCGAGTCTTGAAGGGTGTGGAGGGAGGCAGTATTGGAGACTGAAACTGACTGCGGGCATCTGAGGATTACTGATGCCAAGACCAGACCACAGGAAGCACAGAGTTTATGTCACCGTAGGGGCAGGAAGCAAACCAGCCTTCCAGGGAATCGGGTTCTCCCGGCGGCTTAAGAAACGAGGCCGGTGGCCTATGACAGCCCTCTCTGGGTTGCAGCCAAAGTGGAATCGCTTTTCTTACTGGACGATACCCGGGGAAGCAAACTACTGCTTACGTCCACAACTTCGTCCTTGGACTGAAAATCAGACACCAGCACGTTTTCCCCATCGGACACTCTGGTGAGCGAGATGCACATTCTGCCGGAGATGAGTGTGTGGACGTCGTCTGGCAGGTTTCTGTGGAGATGTTCTCGGATGAATTTACTCACGCGGAAGGATGGGTGAAGGATGCTGATGTTCTGGCTCCTGGCTCTGTAGACGAGGTCCGCGAGTATATGAATGACCTTGTCTGCGGGGGCGAGACACAAATATACACAGGATAGTGGGGCCTGGGAGACAGCAGTGACCAGAAACCAGGTGGCAAGAAAGCCCCCAACCGATTTCCAGTCCCGCACGACCGCGGCTGTGGCGCCCTTCCGATGTGGCTCCGTCCAATCTGAGATGTGTCAACGACACACCTGAATTCAAAGGCTTCCTACAAAGGAATCTAGAACACTACGTCATTGATAATGTCTTATATAGTTGGCTGTGAAAATGAAACTGATATGCTGGCTGTATTGGGATAAGTGAAATTAATTTCAACTGTATCTTTTACTTTTATTCAGCGCGGCTGCCAGGAAATGATCAATGGCATACGCACCTGCGTGTGCTTCTACAGGACAGGCTGCCCTAGGTTCCCGCCACAGGAAGGCGCCGCCAGAGGCCTCAGGGAGCTCGCTCTCACCTCCATTCCCCCAAAGCCAGAAGCGGGGACTCCTCAGCAAGAGAGCATTAGCACAAAGGACCTACCCCCGCAGGAAGCAGAGAATGAGTGCAGGCTGGGGCCCCGGTGAGAATCCTGCCTCCACCTCCTCCTAGCCGAGCAACCTCAGAAAGTCACCTCGCTGCCTCTATCTCAGACTGTGCAACTGTGCATGCTTTACCTCTGGGGACAGAGGGGATTAGATACACTACCATCTGTAAGGTACTCAACCCAGAGAAGCTTCCTAATGCATAACGAGCTTTCATCTTAAGCCTCAGACACCAAAATTACCGCTGTCGAGTGGGCATGGGCCATATTCGTGCTCCATCGGGCCTCACCCACCAGCCTGGACCCCTCTGGCTGATGTGCACTGCGCTGGTACTGCAGGACCACGACTCCCCACCCTGCCACCTGGCCGCTCATAAATCCTGAGATGCGGAAGGGCGGACAGAAGCCGGCCACTTGGGCCACTTCTGACCTCAGCTCATCTCTCCCAACGTGTGTGGCCCCACGGAGCCCAGGTGGAACGGGCAAAGTTGCACACAGCTGGCACATTCTGCTGAGTACTCGGCTTAGAAGCGCTCACAGGAACGCTTTCCAAGTTGCAGCCCTAGCAAATGTTCCTCGGGGGTCCCCAAATGAGACAGGAGGTGAAAGCAGGCCTCCTGGAACTCGGGAGCAGCTCCTGCCCAGACCTCCAGACCCTGCTTTCCAGGGACCTGCTGGTCCCCAAGCCTCCCCCTGCTCTACAGGGTGCTGTCCTGGACTGCACCTGTCGCCTGTCTCTCCATACTAGAGTCCGTGCAGGCACCTTGACACACAAAGGCTGTCTTCTATCACTGCCAAATCCCAGAGCTGCAGCCTGGCTATGTGGCCACACTAATCCTCCCTGAGGCCACATCTCCAGCCCTCTGCTCCCCTCCCTGTCAGTAGAGAAGGCAGCCAGGACCTCTCTCCTAATCCCCACCTCCCAGTCAGCCCAGGATCTGCTCACCCATCCTATCCAATCACAGGGCTGCACCTCCTGCTGGGGGATTCCTGGCCACCAGAATCAAAGTCATTCCCAGCTGGGGGAGTCTCACACAGAAGTCCCTGGGAAGGCTGAAGACTCAATTGCTAAAGAAGCTGAGCAGGGGCCAACGAGGCACACAGCCTTCCACTCGGGGCTCTGGGTGTCTAGCTGCCACTTGTCTCGGGTCCTGTCCCCTGGCTCAGAACCCCAGGCCACACCCTAGTCTGGGCCAGCTGGGCACAGCTCTACATCTGTCCCTCCCTTGGCTACCCACATACACAGATGTTTCATTAGCACAAGATTCAAAGGCACTGGATCTCATTTCCAGCTGTGCTGAGCAGGGTGGGGGTGGGTGGAGGGACGGTAAGGGAGATGTCCTGGGATCTACCCGGCCCCTAGGGATGATATCTAGTACCCACCCCCACCCCCCCACCCCCGCACACATGTGCCCCCTCCCCCATGTCCCCATTAACCTCAAAGCAGCAAAGCTGCCCAGGAGAACTTCCAAGGGCTGTCCTCCCCGCGAGAGGCTATCCAGCCCCCAGGAAAGGGGAGGGGGCATCTCCAATCCCTGCAGTCACCAGAGCGAAGACGGCTCCCACCCTGGGACAGAGGCCAACGCGTTGCTTCTAGTGGGACCCAGGGCAAATTGCCCAGCACCCCCTGAGCTGATGGGGACCCTAGGAGTCAGCTCCACGCCCCCCACCCCCCATCCCCCGGTCCTGCTCCCTCCTCGACGTCGCTCCAGATGAGCTCATTCTCAGTCCCAGGGCAAGGGGCTTCCCTCAAGCCAGGGGGCCAAGGATGGGTTGGGGTGGGGATGCACTCAGGGTTCCCAAGCCCAAGACAGCCAACCCCAGGCGCGTCGTCCCCCTCCCAGGCTGGCGACTGACACCCCCCACCCCCCACCCCGCCATGGTGCAGGGCTAGAGGACACTCGGGAGGAAGCATCTGTCTGGGGAGGGGCCTCCGTGGTGTCCGTGTCCAATGTCAGCTCCACCGGGAGCCCCGCGACCTGTCCCTTCTCCGAGCTGCGGCGGTGGCCAGGGACATACCTAGCGGGATCCCAGAGAGGAAGGTGACGCCGTGCAGCGCCCCCGAAGAGGCGCCGAAAAACATGCGCGCATCGCGGAGGAGGTGCGGGGCGCGCTCGCTCAGGCATTGGGTCACCCCGACGTGGTAGAAGCCCAGGAAGCCGCAGCCCGCGAAGGACAGGCTCCAGCCGCGCCTGGGGTCGCACATAGCGGCGGCGCGCCGGGGTCTGGGGCCGGACTCTTGGGTTTGTGCGCGCCGCAGACAGGAGTCCAAGTTCAAGTCCGGGGTCTGCCCTGCACCACTCGCCGGTCCGGCCTCCCGGCGCGGGGAACCAGCCAGTCCCTGCGTGACGTCAGCCAGGAAGCCCCGCCCCCTAGGGCCAGGCAAATAAGGCGCGGGCTGCCTAGAGCTCCGCGAGGGTGCGGGGAGGGGGCAGTGACGGGGGAGGAGAAGAGATGAGGACCCTGCCCCCAGGTCAGAGTAGAAGGGAGATTCCCCACCCCCACCCCAAGTGGCAGGGCAAGTCCTAGAGAGAAACCCCTCCCCTTTCCGTTCCTTCCCATCCTTTAAGTCAGCGAGAGTCAGCAGTTCCCTGCTTAGGTTCTTGGGATCCTTTTGATAAGATCTTTTCCCTTTTCCCTTGAGGGACCATAAACCTCAAGCAGGCACCAACGTCTAAATAGAATTGAATGTCTTTGCTTGATTCTCCTGCAGTATTTTTGAACGTTGCCTTCAATTCCTGGCAAGTGGTAGAGATTTTTCACTGAATGATACTGAAGTTTCCATTCCAAAGTGTCATAGATAAGTTAAAACTGGGAATAACTGGTGCTGTGCGGTGGGCAGTGCAGGAACGAGGGAGTTTGCTGGTCCCTTTAGGAAGTGCCTAAAATGCTCCTTGACCTTTGTGCCCTGCACAGAGCATTTCCAGGGCTGCCTGTGCAGGGAGGTTAGGGATCTGTCCAGAGTTAGAGAGGCAGAAGTTTTTGTCTCCTGGGCCATCCTACTTCCTGGTGATGTGGACAGAGAACCCTCCTGCCTTCTCTACATAGGGGGGCGTCAAGTACAAGGAATGTAGCCTTTCGAATCAGGCCACCCCCTCCCTTTCTGTGCCTCAGTGTCCTCATCTGAAAAGAACAGACTTACTGTCAGGATTCAAAACATCACTCGTGGGGAGCCTGGGTGGCTCAGTGGGTTAAGTGTCAAAGTTCGGCTCAGGTCATGATCTCACGGTTCGTGGGTTCAAGCCCTGCATCGGGCTCTGTGCTGACAGCTCAGAGCCTGGAGCCTGCTTCAGATCCTGTGTCTCCCTCTCTTTGTGCCCCCCCCCACCCCCCCCCCGCTCATGCTCTGTCTCAAAAATAAATAAACATCAAAAAATATCAAACCATCACTTATGAAGTGCCTGGACATGAGGGTTGTGCCTAATCTCCCCACCCACAAACTTTCCAGAGCCCAAGTCATCCCCTGCTTTGCTGAGCCTGTGTCTGCAGGGCTGGGAGCTGGGGAACAGGGCAGAGAATTGCCCAATGTGCTCATTCCCAGCTGGGGTCAGACAAGGCGACACTCAACTTTCTTGTTTCAACTCCTCTGCCGGAACAAGTATCCCTGTGGCCTGCTGACTGCTGAATGGATTTCACGTGTTTGTGCTTTTCATTGGCGATGTTGCCATTTAAAACGGCCCCACGCACAACGCTGAAGGGCTGTCTGGTGTTCTCAAGTTCCAGAAGGCTGTGTGTGCCTTCTTGTATGAGATACGATTCGTCCAGGCACAAGTTACAGCGCTGGTGGTGGCTGTGAGTTCAATAGTAATGAATCACGTATCTACATATATATTCCTGTATAATATATATTTCTCTTTTTAAACAGAAAACACGCACCACTTAAGGTTCTGTATTGATGGGTTGGTGAAAGTGTTACGACCAGAAGCACATGGGAACCTAACCGTGTGTCCCCTCTGGGAACAATTCAGGGCTTACGGATTAAACATAAGCATGACACACAGCGATAGAAGCACTGTTTATAATGAGGACTGGCTGCATGTCACCTGACCTCCATGAAGGGGAGTACATAGGCTCCGTGGACTCTCGGGTTTCTTTCCTCTATGGGACCAGAAGTGCCGAGATATCTGCTCTGACGGTGCTGGCTGATTCTCCTCATGTCCTCCCTGCAGTGCTGGGCCAAATGACAGCAGGCATCCCTCACCCAGGTAACGAATCCCAGCCTCTGGGGACTGAGCCTGAGGGACGCCCTGGCTTCTCTATCAACCTGCCAGGGGTCCTGATCCGTTCACTGTGCTCCCCCTTGGCGCCCCTGACTTCTTCTTACCCTTCTGCCGCCATATTCCTTGCTTGGCATTTTCGAACCGCCAGCAATGGCCTCAGGTAAGGCTGCCGTGACCAGCCCAGTGTCAGCCTCCCTTCGCCCCTCAGCCCCACCCTGGGCTCAGGCTCCCAGCTTTGGCTGAAATCCATTCCTGTCTCTTTCTTGTTCTCCTCCTCCCTCTTCTTCCTCCTTCTTCATCTTTGTAGTAAAATGTACCGAACATAAAATTTACCATTCTAAGAAATTTTTTAATGTTTATTTTTGAGAGAGAGAGAGAGAAAAAGAGAGAGAGAGACAGAGAGAGAGAGCATGTGCATGTGAGCAGGGAAGAACCCAAGAGAGAAGGAGACAGAGAATCGGAAGCAGGCTCCTTGCTGTCAGCACAGAGCCTGACACAGGCCTCCAACCCACGAGCTGTGGGATCACGACCTGAGCCGAAGTCAGACATTCAACCAACTGAGCCACCAGGGTGCCCCTTAATAATTTTTAAATGTAGAGTTCAGTGGCATTTAGGTACATTCACAATGTGTGCGGCCATCACCACCATCCATTTCAGAACGTTTTCATCTCATAGGACAGAAACTCTGTCCCCATTAAACGTTTCCCTCTTCCATTCCCCCACAGCCCCTGGCACCCACTAGTTCATTTTCTGTCTCTACGGATTTGATACTCAAGGGGCCTCAGAGAAATGGAATCACACAGTATTTGTCCATTTGTGGTGGGCTGGTTTCACGAACACAGTGTCCTCAAGGTTCAATCATTCTGTAGCAGGGGACAGAATCTCCTTCCTTTTTAAGGCTGAATAGTATCCATTGTATGTATTGATGGGGTTCAGAACACACTACCCCAGAATATAGCACCTTGGCATAATGACTATCTTAAGCTGAAGGAATCTGGGAAATGGCAGCAGGCTGATGCACTCGGAAGGGAAAGAATTGTATCTTCATTGCCACCATGTCTAACTATACTTCAGACACAAATGTACGGCACAGACCACGGTAGTATTATGAGAATTACCCATGACTTTAGGGGCGCCTGGGTGGCTCAGTTGGTTGAGTGTCCAGTTGGTTGAGTCAGGTCATGATCTCAGAGGTTCATGAGTTCGAGCCCTGCGTCGGGTTCTCTTTGGATCCTTGGTCTCCCTCTCTCTCTTTCTCTGCCCCTCCCAAGCTCGTGCACGCACACACTGTCAAAAAGAAATAAACATTTAAAAAATAAGATAAAGTGAAGAGCTGGTGTTAACAAAAGCTCGCCTTTGTTTGCAGGAGAGGAGGGTCAAGGAGAGAGGGCTGTGCTCGACAGGTTCTTGGAGAAGACGACCAGTAGGAGGAAGCGAATTCCCAGGGGCAATTGACTTTGGACGGTGCTGGGACACCAGGGTGGCCCATGGGGCTGTCAACGTGAGATAGGATTGCACATATCCTCTGCAACCGTGAGCTCACCAGGTGAGAGTGGACTGTGAGGAAGGTGCATACGGGTGGGAACAGAGAAGTTTCTGGAGAGGTTCTTGCAAAGGGAACAAGAGTGGGTGGGGGGGAGACCTCGAGCCCCAGAGCCGTTCACGGAAACAGGGCCACGGGGTTGGAGTCGGGTTCCTTTCTCCAGCAGCAACCACCCACTCTGGGGACAGTAGAGAACTCCTGGAGCAGGTTGGGAATCTTCCCAGTGGTGTGACACAGGGAGAGAGGGATGGTGCTTAAAGGTGTGGGCAAGGGAAAGGGTATGTGGTGTGTTAAGTCCATTAAACACGGAGGCCAGACTGCGGGGTTTCAGACATCTTAGCAGGGGCTCCTGTAGTGCCTCAAGGTTAAGTAAACCAAACCCTGGGATGCCCGGGCGGCTCAGTGGGTTGAGCGTTTGACTTTGGCTCAGGTCATGATCCCGTGGTTCGTGAGTTCAAGCCCCGCATCAGGTGAGGAGGAGCTTTGCTTTGGGCACCGTGTTGACAGTGCAGAGCCTGTCTCTGATTCTCTCTCTGTCTGTGTCTTGCTCACTTAGGCCCTTTCTCTATCAAAAAATAAAATATAGTATATATAGTAAATATAATATAATATAATGTAATATAATATGATATAATACAATATAAAAATATGTATAAAAAAGGAACTCAAAACCTAAGGACGACCAATCACAAACAGCCCACAAGGCTTTCCCAAATTAGCCAAACACCCAAGCTACTGCCAGTCCATAAAGTCTTTGCTCTGCCTCTCTCTTCTCTAGAAAGTCCCGTCCCTGGCTCCTAACCACTTCAGGTTTGGCACTGCCCAATTCAAATCCATTTGCTCAGATAAACTCTTACCATGTTTAATTTGCATCAGTGTATCTTTTAGCAGCTGGCCCGCAGACCATAAGCTGCGGTGAGATGGACGTGAGAGCCAGAAAGGGGCTGGGGCCACGGCTAAGCTGTAGCGGGGTCAGTGATCTGGGGGTCTCAATGCGGCTGCGGCATCCCTGGGGGGGACGCAGCTTGCAGAAGAACAGGTGGGGAGCCTCGGATGCGAGGATGGTAATGGGGTCCCCCAGGGGGCTGAGCAGGAGCAGAGGTGATGGGTGAGGCTGTGACTGTGGGGGGGAGGGCAAGACCACCTATGGAACTCTGAGAACTGGGAGACTGGAATGTGGGTGCTGGGGTCCCCAGGAATGGAGCCGGGAGGGGGGAGGTGAGAAAGCAGTGAGCCAGGGCACAAGGCCATCCAGGGGCCGCAGCCACAGCGGGCTCAGGCATGAATGGTGAAGTGGGCACATGACCCAAACCCGGGGGATTTGAGGATGAAGGAAGAGAGAGAGTCTGGGAGCAGGGGTGAGGAGCCAGGGGGATGGCTGCCGAGAGAGGACCCAGTCTCCTGGGTGTGGCATCTGGGGTAGACCTGTCGGGTGGTGGGTGG